TAAGAAGGTATAGGCCTAGATAGCCTACGGAGCAAGAAGAGCCTATATAGCGATAGTAGGCGGGGCAACTACCGGAGGAATACTAAGTTAGTCCCGAGGATAGAATCTCTTTTTAGCGGTATTAATAGCTATACGAAGATAGGCCGGGAACTTAATCGGGTTACTATAGTTTATCTCCCGTTCTAACTAAGGTAGGATCTAGAATAGGCGTAGGTACTACGAGTCCTATCTATACTTAATCCCTCGTAGGGGTAGAGATTAACCGGCTCGGCTAAAGAAGTAGTAATTCCTCTTATTCCGGTATATAAACCCCTGCTAGGTAAGGTTACTTATAATCGGGTATTTATAGGCGAAGTAAGAGACGTTACTATATTAGAAACAACAATCCTTTAGTAGACTAGTAACCTACATTATATCGATACGGATGCTCGCCGGTTCTATAGATAAATATAGGCTATTAGGATTCGACGGCCCGGATATAGGTAGATACTATATACTATAGGTACCGGATAGGGCTCTAGCCGAGTTAGTAGGTATAGACATCGTAGAGTAGTAGGCAGCAGATCTATATCCGAGATTTTAGTTAGGCCCCGGAGGCCCGACTAAATCGGAGCCTAAGGCAACTATACTATAATAAGCCTAAACTACGCTAGGCGGGTTTACTAGGCGCGCGTTGCTACTTCCTCTCCCTTAGAAGGCTTAGTAGAGGTCGAGTCGGAAGGTATTAAACTGCTCGGCAAGGGCGTTAACTTTAGAGTTAAACTTGTCGTTCTTCGAGGCCGGAGCTATAATCGACGGTATACCCTTAAAGGAAGTCGAACTAGCGCCGGCCAAGTTCTCCTATAACTTGCCGAGTCTAGCTATAGTAGTCGGATCCTTCGTATACCGCTAACCGTCTATCCCTTTAAGAAGCCTCTTCCTAGTAGCGAAAACCTTCTTAAAGTTATTATACGTCTTTAGTAACTTAGGGTATAGACCGAACTCTCTCCGAAGGACTATCTCTACTTTATTAGGCAGGCCCTTTAGAAAGAGCTTAGTACGGTCAAAGTTAGAGAGCTCCGCTATAGAGTAGCGTCTAATAGTAGCGGTAAATTGCTTTAGGAAATGTAGGTTGTTACTAGTCTTGTCGCGCGGAGTATTATATAGTTGGTTAAGGTACTCCCGGAAGGTAACGTTACTATAGTAGTCCTTCTCGATATAATTGATAGTTACCTTCTCCTTAAATTCTACCTAGTTGTTACCGGGTAGGTCGAGGCCTTCGATCTTAGAGCGGGTAACTATATTACATTTAAGAAGAAAATCGTTAATAACTTCCTTTTCGTCCTTACTTATATAGTACTTGTCCCTTATTATCTCGTAACGACGGAGAGCGTCCGTAATATTGTTTCTATCAAATATAGGGTTACTATCGGTACTAGGTATAGGCGGCTCCTTTGTAGACCTTTCGCTCCTTTCGGTAATTTTCTCTATTATACTAGCGACGCTAGAGGTTATCGAGGATATAATGTTTTAGTTCGTTACGAGGAGCTCTATAGCCCGGTACTATTCTTCTACGCTTATCGGTTTCGGCGTAGTAGGATAAGTAGAGCTACTCGACGGAGTTAACGTAGGTATAGACGCCGAAGGTCTAGCTATAGCTAGTCCGGATCTAGATACTATATTAATAGAGCGGTTTCGGATCGAGATATTAAGCTGTCGATCGTACTCGTCTAAGTCTACGGAGGCGTTCTCGATCGAGTCGGCGCGGTAGAGGCTATTAGCAACGGGGTCGGAGTGTTCGGTAGCTAATATCGTTCTCGTTCGTTAGTACGTATATATACGGGTTTAGTACGTTCTCGTTCTTTAGTATATACGTATACGTATTCGTCTTTAGTCTTGTTTTCTATCTTAATCTCCTCGACTATATATAGTAGTACTTTAATCCTACCCCTTTCGGTTAGACCCTAGGGGCCTAACTAAATCCTAACTCCTTTCGGTACCTATATTACAGTTAGTATAACTTAAATCCCGAATCCCCTCTTCCGTTCTACGATATTAGTCGGCCGCTCGTTCTTACGGCCTATACCTCGCCGTCGGCCTCCCCGTAACGTCTATTATCTCTAAGGCTAAAGACCCCTTTCCTCTAATATCGCGTTAATTACTTTTCCCTACCTTATGTTCGTAACCGTATTATATCGTAGCTTGCCCTATACCTAATTAGGAACTATACCCTTCCTTATACCGAATTGGGAACTACGCCCTACTATATCGTATTGTACCTTAACCTTATACCGTATTATCTAGTATAGGAACTATACTCTAGGAACTGCGCCTAATCAATCTCGAACTTTGTCGTTTAATACTATACCTTCTCGTACCGCGTTGTAATAGTCTCCTTTTTAGAGTCAAACGCGTTCTCTATCTCCTATCCTATCCCCTATACCTATCCCTTTTTGCCCTCCTCCTCTAACCTATAACTATTCCTACTCTTGTATTTTGTATATAATAACTGCCCTACCTTCGGCTCTATTTATTACCGTAAAGCCCTCTCTCCTACTACCGTCCTCGAGTAGACGATCGGATAGGCCCGGCTTACGGTAGGTCGCGGCGTAGCTCTACGGTAAAAGGGGTAAGATAGGTAGAGGTCCGGAAGGACGCGGAGATGCCCGTAGGTAGCGGGAATAGTAATATTAGAAGACAAAGCGTACTGTAGGGTAACGACATCAATTATAGTAGAGTAGGTATCCGTATATCTACGTCCTAATTATGTCCGTCCTCTCCTCCGTCCTAAAAAGAAGAAAACTACCTTATATAGCTACCCGCTAGGAGTAGTACGGCCCTCCTAGGCCGTCCGGCTCTCGGCTCTACCCCGACGCCCTATATAAAAGAAACACGCCTAGCCGCTTAATAATAGCTATCTAGATATAGTAATATTAATAGAGTTGCAGGTAGGTAAGGATGTTAGTATATAGTAGGTTGTTAATAGGAGAGGAGTAAGAGGATCGTAGAACGCGCGACGAACCTATTAAAATACTCTATCTCTATAGCGATACTACTACGTACTCCCGACTACTACCTATAGAATTCGCGACGTAACTACGAGCAAATATTCTTAGCGACGCTTCGCGATAGTACGAACATAAGAAGGAATTTGTATACAATGTTTACTAATACTAAGGTATAGACATTCCGTAGGTATATACTAGCTCTACGTAGTACCTAGATAAGAGTAGACGTCGACCTCCGTTTATAGAGCGAATACGCGGAGGACTAATAATCTATCGCTACTAGGGATATTAGCCCTAAGAGAGGGCGTCTATAATATACTAGGGCAGAGAAGCCCTAGCGAACCCCCGGCGAGACGGGCGGGGCGTACTATATAGGCCGGGAAGCCCTTATAGACCTCCGGCGATCCGGTATAGAAGAGATACTCTACCGATCGGGGACGTTCTAAATTAAGAGGGTTCCTAAGGGAACCGGTTATCGGCTACTGCCTAAGAGGAGGCGGTACCGGTAGTAGGGAGTAGATAATAGAATAGCTTATATATATAGCAAGGGCCCTCCTCTTAGAAGAAAGGGCAGAGTTATTATACCTTAGATAGTAAGCCGTATATTGTTTATACCTTTTATACCTCGGACCTCTATTACGTATACCCTTACGCTTATAGGACTATTATAAAGACTATAACTATTCCTACTCTTATATTTTATATATACTAGCCCTACCTTTAGCTCTATTTATTACTATAAAGCCCTCTTTCCTATTACTATCCTCGAGTAGACAATCGGATAGGCTCGGCTTATAGTAGATTATAGTATAGCTCTATAGTAAAAGAAGCGGTATTAGATAGAGATAGATAAGTTATAGGAATAGCTATAGATAGTAAAGATAGTAGTATTAGAAGGTAAGGTATAAGATAGAGTAAGAATAGCAATTATAGTAGAGTAGAGTATATATCTCTCTATATTCTATATATATCCGTTATCTTGTCTATTATTAAAAAGAAGAAAAGTACTCTATATAGTATATCTACTAGGAGTAGTATAGCCTATCTAGGCTATCTAGCTCTTAGCTCTATCTTAACGCCTTACTTAAAAAATATACGTCTAGCCGCTTAATAGTAGTAAACATTATATATAACCTAAGACTATATATAATACTATAGATCTTCTAGAGTAACTATTTAAGAGCTTACCTTTTATATACTAGAAATCCTACCTTTCTATACTAAATAGAATCTAATCCTACTTTAAAGTATCTCTATCTTCTATATATAATTAGTACGGAACGACCTCTAAGCTTTCCGAAGTATAGCGTAGGTTAGGTATAGGAGGGAGTAGAGGCTAATCAATCTAGGAAAGTAAGTATATTAAGGCAGAAAAGTTAGCTCGAAAGCGTACGCTATAATTAGCGCGATCTTTAGTAGTAGGGCGCGCTAAATCTACTAGGCCTAATACGTTACTACCTTAAAAAAAACTACCTATCTCTATAGACTACTCTATCTAAAATTTAGTAAAGAAGAATATAGAGAAGAGAAGGATAAGGATAAGGATAAGGACAAGAACAAGGATAGAGAGAAGAAGAAGAAGAAGGAGAAGGAGAAGGAGAAGGAGAAGGAAGAAGAGATAGAGAGAAGAGATAGAGAGAAGATACAAGAGATATATATATATATATACGCGCGCGTATATATAGAAAATTGGCCGATACTATACTACTAACAGGCAGGCCTATAGGACATATTACTTAATATTCTTTTTTTTATTAGTTTTAGCTCTAAAATTAAGAAGATACTCTTCTCTTTATATTAGTATAAATATAGAACTATATTTAGTCTATCTAGATCTATCTAGATTTTAATTATACTAGACTAGGTCTCGGCCTCTTACTAAGCTTACTACTTCTAGATACTAATTAAAATCTTATCGATATCGGTATTCCTATCCTCGTCGTTCCTCTACTTTCTTCCAACCGACGGCAATCTCGTCTTGTCACGTGTACGACAAGGCATAGAAGTAACAACATGTTGGTATACATACCAGACGATGCGGTACCTCGAGTTTGCAGGCTAGAACCATGCGTCTCGGTGCAAAAGAGGCCGGACTACGCTCCTGACACCAAGAAGCAGCTATATGTCGCGCTGTCTCTAGGCACCGAATGAACATGTCTTACAGGTAGGTATAGCGACAGCCGGGGAAGTACATGATTGTTTCGACATTGTTCGGAGAGATGCGAATCCCCTCACTATGCATTTGCACAACAGGACTATTCCTCGCCCAGGTCTTCGGTTCGACTGCGCTGAACTGGCCTGCCGACTCGGCTTTGCCTCATTTCCCGGACATTGGCGATGCAATTGATGCAGCAGATATTACTGCTCTCACCGGCGAGGAGCGCGTTCTCCTGACGACTCTTCAGGGCATTGTGAATCGCCAGCAGCCTCGGATCTATCTCCACTGGAACAAGACCGATGAGGCCAACGACGGGAGCAATCAAGCGTGGCTGCGAGATATCGCCGAGTATGTTCATGTCGACGACTGCTCCGGCCATCCCTTTGGCATCTTGGAGAGGTATCGCTCGGAGATTGCTGGGGCGATTGTCTACGATCCCGACGTCGTAGACACTGTCAACCTCGCGACGACGGTGGCTGGCCTTCGTGGCGCCGTGGTTGCGACAGCTGAGCTTGCATACCAGCATCAATTGCCCATTCTGGAAGACTTCCGAGGACGCTTCGACAACAAGTACGACGTGTACAACTACGCTCTCGAACACATCTACCCTCTGTTGACCAAGCGCGCAATCACAGCCTTGACGCCCGAAGAGACAAGGACAATTCCGAGTGTGCCTTGGTCCAATCTTACCAGCGAGAAGAACAGGACAGTCGACGCCAGTAACAATGCCACTTATACTGTAGACCTAACGCCTTTTCTCGTCCAGCTTCAGGAGGATGGAACGGTCTATGTCCGAATCAAAGACGCCTTCGAAGACGACGGACATGGCGCAGCAGTCTCTCACGTACTCGCCTTGGCCGATGAGGAAGTCCTAGCAGACTTCACGCCCGGCACCGCTGGCGAAGATCCATTTCTCGTAGACTGGGGAGGCTCATATCTTCATGACTATCCCTGGGGCTGGCGTTCTGCAGATGGAGGAGCGCACATAGTCTATGGCTTCCGCCCTCCCAACGGCACTCGCAGTCTGACCGTGAATCTCACAATGGCCAACCAATTCGACGTTGCCGCCACCACAACACTGCCCGCAGTCAAGGTGCTTAATGCCGTCTTTCGCGACTACATCACAGCCATCGCCGCGCCATGCATCTGGCTGGACCCAAACAATCCCGACGAATTGCCTCTACTGAACCGGATTCTGGAAAGCTTTGATGCCAATTCCGCCTACCTGGGCTGGTTTCCAAATGGTAAGTGAGTGACGCGTTGATCAATAGTCTCCTTGGATTCTCGATGCGTGTTGTCGCCAAATCATCTGCTGAATCAACCTTTTACTACAGGCGACGAGATGTCTGGCGTAACGCGAACCGCTGCCAACAGCATGTTCGTCGTTGCAGCCGATTACTTCTTCAACGGGTCTTTCATGAGCGGACTCCGGAGTCTGTTTTCTACCACGACCCAGAATCGCAAGCTACCACCTCCGCCCGCTATTGAAATCACCAAGTCCTCTATTCCAAACAAGATCTACCTGTCCCTCACATGGACTGAAGGAGACAACATCCAGTACATGCAACATCGCATGCGAGTCATCTGGGACGATCCCGCGCGAGGCCAAATTCCCATGGGCTGGACAGTCAGTCCAATCCTCCAAGACATAGCGCCCAACATGCTCCACTACTTCCAATCCTCCGCGACCTCAAACGACACCTTCGTCACCGGTCCCGACGGAGTCGGTTATACATTTCCTAGCAACTGGCCCGAGTCAGACTTTGAGTTGTTCCTCGACATGACAGCACGCTACACCAAATCTATAGGGACGGCGAGCAACATCTGGGTCTACAATCGCATCAACGCAACCCTCTACCCGCTCGCCAACGAAACCATCGAAGCATACCACCGCGCTCTCGGCCCAGACTTGCTCGGAATTTCCGCAGACGGCCACGCGAGCGGCTACGGAATCAACGTCACATCTAGTGACAGTGGTAGTGTTCCCGTCGCGGGGCTCGCGACCATTAGTAGTGTGAAGCAAGGAATGGAACGTCTACAGAATATTTCGACGCAAATGTACGACGGTACGAAGCCTGTGTTTGTGGTGTGTGCGTTGTATGCGTGGGATACGACGCCGGGGAATATAACGCAGTTGGTTGGGCAGTTGGGAGAGGAGTTTGAGATTTTGGGGCCCGAGGAGCATTTTCGGCTGTTTATGGAGGCTCAGGGGATTGCGTTATGAAGAGGTACCCAAGGTAGTATAGGAAGAGCTGTGACAAGTTGAAGAGTAATGGTAGTATTTAATATTCACAACGGGTGAGAAGTAGTGTTTGTAGATTCTTGTAATGTATGAACTTCTCTACCTAGGCGCACAAATACGACCGTCCGTTCGAACTATCGTTGACAACTTTCCTCCTACGAAGAAAATAATCATTCAAAGTACGGTATTACTATCCCCCCGCCATCATCACCATCCACACCCTACCATCCCTCAACACCCCATCCCTCAACACCCCCTTCTCTCAACCCCTACCCAAAGAAGAAACAATCGGAACATCCTCCACCTCAACCAGAATACACGGAAGGCGATAATACTCATCTTCAGGCTTCCAAATCGCAATCCTCCGAATTCTCTTGTGTCCAAAGAGACGAGAATGCTGAATGAGCATCCACGCTGTCCCTCGTACATTGGGGCTTCCGACGAGAGATTGAAAATCCTCCCAGTCTGAGGGGTTGGTGCGGTCGATGATGAGTCGTCGGGACCTGTAATATAGAAGAGACAAGTCGTTGTCAGCAGGGTGAGGGGGGTTTGATGTCGAGGATCATGTATGATATAGATCGAAAAAAAAGAAAACGTACCAAGGTCTCGCAACCAAATAAACCCCCTGAGAATCCATCTCCGTATATCCTCTCCGCTCCAGAACCAGATGGATGATTTTATTTGTATCAGAATTTTCCACATCAAAGTCAATCGAATAGCGGAAGCTCATGGGACGATGATGGAATTTCTGACATAGAGCTGCATATTCCAGACTTGCGACATCGCTTACAAGTCGCAGATGAGGAAGTTGGAGACCAGGAATATTTCGCCAATCCTTCTCGTCTCCGTCTCCATCTCCGTACACGGTATCTCGCATTTTTTGGGGACTTTTGATGAATTGTCTGATGATTATGCCGTTGAGGGTGTTGTAGATGATTGTGTAAGACGCTCGAGTGGACTAGACATTTCTGATTAGTACTGTAGTGTTGTTCTTACGCTCCTATAATACAGAAGATGCCAAAAATGACAGACCTCGCCTCGTGCACCGTTGTAGAAATCCTGATCCTGCTCCCAGGCCACGAGTTCGTTGTCGCCATTGGGGTTGTTTCTCGTTCGCACGCTGGCAGAGATTTGCAAGTCGGCAAAGACGTCGAGGATGGCTACATCTGCGTGACTCTCTACGAAGTTGAGCCTGTCAGCTAATCTTCGTTCTGGATTCCTGGTCCAGCCATTGCTTGCGAGCTCGTCATAGTTGGTAAAGACACTTTGCGAGGTGCGGAGGCGCAGTTGAGCTGGACTGAGAACACCATCGCTCTTCATGGTTCTATACAGGGGCTGCATGTTGCCTTCTTCCATGTACGCGATCAGCTTGCAACCACGCGCCGCCCATTCGGCGCGGATCTCGTCGTCTGTGATGCGTTTGGCAAGAGGACCGATTTGCGGTCTTCTATGATGGGCATGGTCGTCGGGACGGACCTGTACAAAAGGTCGTATTCCGAGTGCTGGTAAACTGCTGGCAGACGTCTTCGAGCACGAAGCGAGCATGACGAGAAGCACGGTGATATTCGAGAACCGCCATCTGGCATCTCTACCGCTCAGGGTCATGTTCATCTTCACTGCGTCTATGACGGTGGGCGACAAATACGAAGAGCAGTGTTTAGGACGAGGACAGGCGGCGATGGAGATTTCGCGATGTTTCTTGGAGGTCCAAGTTGCCTGTGAACATATATAGTAAGCCCACAACGAGTAACGAGCACATGAGTTTCATGCAGCTGATAGCAAACACGCGCGTGGGCAATGCCCATTCGAAGCAGGGCGTCACCACCACCACCAGGCAACCACTGGTGACTGCACACGAGCATATGATATTCGTTCGGCGCAATGCTCATCTCTTTGAACCTCACCGCTGCCCTACTGTCCACCCTCCCTACCATACATGTCTGCAGTCGCGTGCTCTAGAGACATGACTTGTTTCGTATCAGGATCCTGGGGAAATAGTTTCTAGTGCCTCGTCAATTTGTGCAAGCATTGTGAGTCGGATTTTGTGTAGCTCGTTGAGATTGCCCTCCCTAGAACATCAATGTCGCGGCGCCGCCGCAGAAGACATGTCAGCTCTGGACAGAGTGGTGAATTTTCGTTATCATTCCTTTCGTTCCCTGGCTTAGATGCAGAACTATGTGCTCGCATAGTATGGAGAGCATCTCGTTCCGTTCGCCTCCGGTTGGGATAGCGACTCTCGTTGCAGGTTTGTTCACTCACCACACTTCCGTCCACAAGTCATCACAACCTCGCCCTTTTCGCCTCACCACCATCCTCGGGTAGTCAATCCACCATAATCTTCCCCTCCAACTCTCCGAAATGCTCAAAGAAACTATCAAACAGGTTCACTCCATACTCGGCATCATACGCTCCGCCTGTCTCTCGAATCGAATGCATACTGAGCTGAGGATTACCCACATCGATAGTCCTCGCCCCTAAGGCAGCACTCAACATAGGACCAATGGTACTCCCGCATCTCGAATCGTTGCGCACCACAAACAACTGCAGTGGGACACCAGTTTCAGACTTCTTGATACCTGGTGCTTGGTAGGAGGACGGTTTGGCACGCCTGGCGCATTCCTGCAGGAGAACGATTCCGGGGGAGTTTGTAGCATATCGAACATTGGCATTGATCTTGATGACAGTGCCTTCGTTCATGTGTGGACGATGTTCAGCTTCGTAGTTGCCGCCGTAGTTGGGGTTGATGGAGTGAGCCATATCTGCGGAGATGAGGAAGCTCGTCGCGAGGGTCTGTTCATATGCTGTGCTGGTATCGACACTCTCCCCAGCGCTGACTTTGTCGTAGCTCTTCTCGCTGTCATCTTTTGCGGCCGATGGAAGGACGGAGAGACGGCGGATGACGGCTGGGAGCATGTTACTGTCCGCACCTTGAGCAGATTTGGAGCCAATTTCCTCGTGGTCGAAACAGGCGATGAGGCGGATGGTGGAGTCGCCTTGAAGTGCTGAAGGAGATTCCACGGATTTGATGAGACCCTCAACAGCACAGTATGTCATTCCCAGGTTGTCCAGACGAGCCGAAAAGATGAACTCGTCATTGATGCCACCGAGGCAGGGAGGTTGAACGTCGTAGAAGACCAGTTCAAAGTCTAGGATATCAGCAGCTTCCACACCAGCATCCTTTGCAATCAACTCGATGAGATATGGATGGTGTCTCTTGGTCACAGTCTTGAGCGGCTCGAATTCACCCTCCCCGGCCTCCTTCTTCTCCGTCTCTTCCTCCTCCTTCGCCTCTTCCTTCGTCTTCCCCACGCGATTCAACTCGGCAGAAATCAACCCCAACACGGGAAATAACTGCGTCTCCTTGTTAAAAGTAAAAGGCTCACTTCCTCCAAAGTGCATTGCCAAATTGGGAATTCTCGCAATAGGTTTGTCAATCCTCACCAACTTCTGCTCCACCTGCTCGCCCTTCTTCACCATGACCCTCCCGGCAATTCCCAAATCACGGTCAAACCACGTATGCCACAAGCCACCTCCGTACGTCTCCACGCCGACCTGGAGAAAGCCTTCGGCGGAGCGTTTCGAGACGGGTTTAAGTCGCAGACAGCAGGAGTCGGTATGTGCGCCTACCATGGCGATGGGGTTGCCGGGCTTCCATTCGGAGCCAATGGCGAAGGCGACGACGGTGGAGGTGTTACGGGTGAGGTAGTACTTTCCGCCGGGAGTGAGAGTGGAGGACCAGGGGTCTCGTTCCTGAAGGAGGGAGGAAGAGGTTTAGATGATTGCTCGTTCATCTAGGTGGTATGGTATGGAGGACGGGTAGGCGCCTGGCTTGACTCACTCTGATTTGCTTGAAGCCCGCCTTCTCCAGACGCTGGACTGAAGATTGGACGGCATGAAAGGCTGGAGGAAGTTAGATACCTGTACCTAGTTGTCCGTGTCTGAATTGAAGCTGTTGGTAGGCTCGATGGTGGAGCTTACGAGTGGGAGATGCGTGGAGGAAGTCCACAAAGTCGGCGGGTCTGGAGATGGTAGACTTGCTAGCCATGACTGCGAAGCCTCGGCTGATCAAGTTGTAGTGTATACAGGTAGAGTGTCTGATGGGATTTGTGTAGAAAAGAAGGCGTGCGAACAGAGGGAGAGGCATGTACGGTCACACTCCAATATGGACAGACTGTCAAGAAGAGAGCACAAGAGATGGTGCTGGTGGCTAAGGTAGGTACATAGCTGCTTTCGTCCCACTCCCCACTACAGTACGCCCTAGTTCTACTGATAAGATAGGCCAGCGGTGAATCCCACTCACCCCTTGGCCAACATCGACATCAAGCAACAAGCAACAAGCATCCGAGAAACACCTTTGACTTCGCTCTTGGTCTGTGAATGAGACGAAGATGAATGGCGTGGACGGATGTAGAGAGAGCGGGAAGATATGAGCTCAACCTTCTGAGAAGCTCTAATTCAAACGGCTCTATGGTAGCTAATTGCCACTCGCAGCGTGCACATTCCATTGCTGTTTGGCCGTTCTGATGGTGCGATCGAGCAGAGAATGCCTTCGCAGCAGTCACTGTATTCCTGCTAGACCGCGCTCCCCCTCGTACATTCTCTCCTCAATCAAAGGGCGAACAAACTCTCCACAAATTCGGGAGAGCCCAGGGTGATAGACTGATCGAACACCTCCGAATCCAACTCTTCCTCTTTGAGTTGGCCCTCCTCCTCATTCCACTGATTCAGTGGAGTGTAATACTGCTCAGGGAAAGTTTCCACCAGCGCCTCGGCACCCTGCTTCTTGAACCAACTCTCGAGGGCATAAATGTCCTCCGTGGCCATTTCCGCCTCATCAAAGTCCAGTCGAAGAGCCCTCCTCTCGTTTTCCAACTCAGTGGGGTCGTTGTTCTTGTACGACGCCACTTGCAGCCGGTATGCCTCAATTTCGGCAGCGACGTCTAATTTGCGGATTTCAAGCTGAGGACGAGAGGGCCCTTCGAATGCGGCGGCATCCATTTCTGCCTGCAGGATTGTTGCTTGCTCGTTGAGCTGTTTTTCAAATTCCAAGTTGATGGCGGCCACTCTCTCGCACTCTGCTTCAAGGGCTGCGAAGGCTGATTTGGTCTTCTTGGCGCGTTCGGTTTGGAAGTCCCAGTACCAGTTTCCGGAGCCAATCTTCTCGCAGGAGATCTTGTTGTCATCTTGGAGGGACTGAATGTAGTCTGTGTGGCAGTGAGTCATGTGAGTCATGTGAGTGGGGGAGTCAGATGAAGTTGGGGGAGCTGGGAGGGAGCAAGACAGCTGAGATGTATACCTTTGGTCTGCATGCCGTTGATAGACGCGACGGATGGGAGTTGCTTCTCGAGCTCTTTGAGATTCCACACCGTCTTGGACTGGCGGAACCAGGACTGGATGGTCGCGAGCTTTTGAGGGTTACAGTTGACCTTGGGCGCCTGCGAAATGAGTCAGAAGCAGTGCGAGTGCGCTGAACGTCAGGAAGTGACTTACCATGGTTGTGCTGTGGTTGAGGTGGGTGCTTGGCAATGGGTAGTGGTAGCGGTGTTGGCGGTCAATTTCCGTCTGTGAGTGAATGGTGTTGTAGGTGGAAGAAAGTTGAGAAAGAAGAAGAAGGAGAAGAAGAAGAGATCAGAAGAAGTGGGATTTCGGAAGGAGGCGCAGCAAGTTTATGGGGAGGTTGGGGATGAGGTGCTTGAGGACGGGATGTTCAACTCGCGACACTTCACTACTTGCGATCAAAAGCGGAAGGAACGCGTCGCACAATTCCACCATAACGCGTGTTCGACTACACTTCGCGCGCATTCTACGACAATGAATTCCAACAGAGCCACTTGATCTTGCCCATGCGAGAGTGCAGCAGATCTGAACAACTCCCAGCACGGAAATCAACGCGAGAGGAACGAGATTCTCACGGCCAGCGAGTGGAGAAAACGCGTCTACCCAAGGCGGCATGGCTGTTCGTTCTGTCGGCATATGCGCGTTGAAGCTGGTCTTGCTCGAATAAACCTCATCGAAGAGGTTTCATACCTTAGATATGTATGTGCACCTGGCAGCAAAAGTTGCGAATGCCTCCGTCAGCGTTTACCATCCCAGCCCGCGCCGACGATGCTACGCCAGAATTGTCTCCAGTCTGGCAGGCCAATTCAAAGCCATGCGACACATGTCGAGTATACTCACAGTCATCAAATGTCAGGGGTCTGGGAGATCAGTCGTGGAGCTTCGAGCAAGCACTCGTGGGATCAATACCGCGGCAAGATAATCAATCGATGACTACAGCTCGGACCTGAGAACAAGCGTATCGTGGTATGATGCCCTTCTCTTGAAGAGATCAGACCTGTGTATCTTCCTCCGTTGCCCAGTAGAGTCTGAGGCTTGCTCGCGAATGGCGATGGCTCGTCTCGGCGGCTTGATGGATTGGCTTCACTTGGTATAGCTGGTTTGGAAGCCTGATGCGAGAACAAGCTGTCTTGGGCATACATGTAGCTCGCAGCATGCTTCTGCTTCCGTGTGATTGAGGATGAGGAAACGAGAGTCAAGCACAGTAGTCAGTTCTACTCATAATGGCATCAGCGGGGCGACGTCTGTAGACGGCACTGGTCTCGATGTCGAAATTAGGTACCTAGGTAATATTCAACTCTCACATCCTGTACATACCATTGTCTACACTCATGTAGGTAGGTAGGTACATGTAGCTGATATGTATGTCGAAAAAGTCTAAGAGCAAGGGGGGAAAGCCTGGCGCCACAGTGGCTGAACACTCCAGGTTTCACATCGCCCTGCATCTCGGCTTATGGCGTGTTGATGCTTCATCGCAAGATTCGCCAAAACATCGGCTTTGCATATAGCGACCTGGTCCAGGCAGCGACGTGAGCTCGGGTCTAGTAGGTCACCAGGTCGCGAACAGAATGAGAATGTAGGTCTCGCTACCACCAGTTCAACTCAATCGAGAGCCAGCAGAAAGTCGAGTCCACATGCTAAAGGAGGTATACAGCACCTCGCGCAACATCCGGCGCGATGCCCTCGAACGACTGGCCAAACTATCGGCCGAGAGCAGCAGCGGACACGATGATGGGCGAGACATCGAACGACTATGCGCTTTGGGAGGATCGAGTGGGCAGGTATACCAGAATGGAGACGTGAACGGCGAGGGACACCAGAATGGAGGCATCAACGGCGATAGGGGGAAGGTGTCTTCCATCCCGATGAGTGTCAAAGAGCTGGAAGTACTCGTGGCCTTGTGCAAGGCCGCTCCTTTAGTACAAACCACTCGAGATGCTGAAGCGCTGTTGCAACAACTCGCTCCGTATGTGGCAGAGGCGCATAGGCAAGCCTTCCGAGCGACGCCCCTACACCAGCATCTGCCGCCTTGGGAGACTATCTCCTACGATCTGACCACTGCTATCCTTTCACTGGGTCTCAATCACCCTTCTTTGCGTGCGCGCGCCTGCTCGACCATCAGCGAGGCTGTGGACGAGGTGACATTGAGCGCAGAGAACACTGCGTGGCTCAAGCCATTGCCAGAGGGTCAGACCGAATATGAAATCAACGATGACACGCTGCGAGTGGTCCAGATCAGTGTATCTCTCTTGGGCTTCTTCAATGGTATCGCCGGTTATATGCAAGTGTGGAGCCCAGATCAACGCATGAGTCTTCTGCCACAGTTTAAGAGAATCCTGTCTGAGAAATTCATGGTGTCTCTGGAGGGTGCCCTGTCGGCTATCCGTAACTCGTATACCAAACACCGAATGGTGAATCAGTGGAAGCGATGGGACACTCAGTACGCGGCACAAGGGCGTCCTTTGGGTGCCATGCTTCTCCAACAAGCTTTCATGCATATCGTGGAAGAGACCACGTTGGCACTTCTCCCGATCCACGAGCCCCTCGCTTCAGCTGACCTGTTGGACACTCTTCTGCAGCAAGATCCTCACAAGTACCAAAATAAAGTCCACTCTGCCAACGGTATTGTGGATAACCTTACTGAGCTGGTCACCAGTGAGATCAAGTTTCTAGACGATGAAGCAGACTATCTCAAATTGGGCTCTGTCTGGCAACAGAAGCAGGCACGAGACGTGAAAGCGAGTGCACTGCGTAGCTTTCTCTGTTGCTGTATCTTGAGCGGCGGCACCCCTAACGACGATCTTCTGCTGGACTGGCTGAGCGCCATCACGGCCGACCCCGACCAGATGGTGGACGAAGATCTTGCGAAGACCGTGCTCAAATCGATGGCTGTGCTTGCTCGCATCTCGGAGACGGTAGTCACAAGCTTGACACGATACTTGCCCAGGCTGATTGTGAACGGCAAGATGACCGCCACCACTGCCGCTGTCGCCTGCGAATGCCTTGCTCGCGTGCTGAAGCCACTCTCTCAGGACGTCGTCATCAGTACACTCTACAGCTTGGGCAACATTCTCAGTACGGACGTCGATGGACAGGCCAATCATACGACAATTTTCGACAGTAGCTTCAGCATTGCCCATAATGACAATGGCAACGGCTTCACATCACATCAGGGCTTTGGCAGCTCCATTTCTTTAGTCCTGAGCGACGAGGAAGAAACGGCGGCCGCGTATGGCACACTCGTGGCAGCCATTGTTGCCATTGCGGTTGCGCGCAGTGAAGCACAGCTCACTGCTTTAGTGTCTTCGATGCTTCTGCAGAAAATTGGAAAGATCAGTCCCGCTGTGGACGCGCGGATCATCGTCGAAACCGCCGCACTTGGTCTTTCTGGGGGCGTCTCCGAGTTGAAGGGCTTACTCCGAATTTATGCACGAATCAATAGCGAAGCGCTCTCTCAAAATAACACCCTGCTGAGCTCGGCCGTATTCGAGGCTCGCACTCGACTTGCCGTGCATGTAAAGCAAGATTCGCCATTCTACGAGATCTATTTGTTGCATCTACTGGCGCAATGCGTCGGCAGTGGGGAGGCTCCTGGAGACAAAGCTGCAGACACCGCATTGGCGCAGAGGACCATTGCTGGTCTGCTGCGTCCGCTGGCACTCCTCGCCTCGCAACATGCTGGAAGGACACCTGTTTTTGAGAACGGAGATGAAGTGCTTGCTCTGGGACGCGACGCCTGGTTCAACCTCGTAGTACAGGGCTATACATTGAAATCGCAGCTGATTCAAGATCACATCGAAGACTTGCAGACAGTGGCACTCTACAGCTTGCCGTTGGTTGACGAAGCTAGGGTTGACATGCCTGAGAGTGGCATCGATCTTGACCCGGTACTGCGCAGAGGCAAGAGTGATCATGCGCTCGATGCTCAGCGACACTCGTTGAAAGCAGCGTTGCCGCACTGCGAGTCCGACATCAGAAGTCTGAGCTACCAAGAGTGCGTGTTCCTCAACGCTGCGCTGCTCGTGTCGACGCTGCGCGCACGAGGTGGACACTGCACTGCAACTCTGCCATATTTCCTCGAAAGCAAGGTCAAGACCGGTCCTCTGAACAATTGCATGCTGGCAGTCTCCAACCACAGCGTCGAGGTATACCTGCAGCGCGCTCTCTCCGCCAAGCGGCAAGACTTCGCTGCACCACAGGTAGCAGTGCAGCTTGCGGCATTCTTCGAGGGCTGCTGTCATCGCATCGCAAAGGTGCAAATCGCTGCAGTGGCCGCTTGTGATCGACTTATCGCCCAAGTCCCATCTGCGCTCTGTCAGAAGTCATCTCTGTTTGCCTTGCTAGAGTTGTTATCTCTGATGTGGAAAGCATGTCTTGACACAGAGACTGACGAATACTCCTTCAAGACGCGCTACGAGTCACAGAAAGCGAAGGTGTCTATTCAACTTTCGGACGATGCGCAGTTCCGCCAAGTCACCTTGACCAACTTTTATAATAAATGCAGAGTCTGGGTCTCGCGTGCCGTCCGCGTGGCCCCATTGGACGTGAAGGGTGTCTTGCAGGCTTACCTTGAGGACTACGATGACGACGGCGCATACGGGCACATTGCGCTCGGCCGCTCGTTCGCTGTCGAGATGGGTGAGCTGATCCCAGCGAGCGACCAGAGATTGACCAGCCTGGACAGTCAGCGCACGATCGGCATCAATACTGCTTCCGACTTCATCGCTCAATACACCACTCGGCAGTGGTATCGAAAATTCGATGGCACGCTGGCAGGTGAGGCCGACGACGAATGGGCGCTTGTCGACTACAGCGGTAAAGCACGTGTTGCTCTGTTTGATGCGAATAGTCCAGTTCACGATGTGGCCGAGGAGTTGAGGGACCTCTCTCGTCGTCTACGAGCGCATGAGCATGTTCCCTTTGCAGAAGTGACCGCAAGCCTGCGCAAAGCTGCTGGCTTCATTAGCAGAAGCGCTTCAGACCGTGTCATTCTCATCCAAGGTCTCGTCGCGATCCCATTCACTATTTTCACGAAGCAATCCATTCGACTTGGAATCTCCTTGTGGCTGGGCGTCATCAAAGAGAACCCCAGTCTCGAATCGAGAGTGCTCATGGAGGTGGCTGCGGGCTGGGAGGCCTCTGTCAGGCTGAAGCGAGGCTTCTTCTCGACGTCTTTGCACCACCATCATCTCGATCCGTTTTACATCAAGGAAGAGTTTGCGCCGTCCGACTGGGAAAAGACGAAGAGGCGTGAGAAGCTCATTCAGGACTTGGTCGCGCCGCATCTCGCACTCACTCATAGCCTGTCCAGCCACTTCAGCGCCACAAGACTGACATCGACCTCGCTCGAGAGGGTATATGCACGGCTGATGCGTAACACGCTTCTTCAGATGCAAAAGAGCGTCAACCAACCCCTCGCGCGAGAAGTACACTTCCACATCATCTTGCTGGCGCTGAACATTCTTCAATTCTGCACCGGCCTGCACACTTCAGCTCAGTGGCGGCTCAAGGATGCCATTCTCTCTGCGGGCTTGTCCTGGTTCGCAGTGGCGCCCAGATGGTCCTTTGGCAGTAACAGACTGCAAGTCAAGGCGGAGCGAAAGATCCTCAACGATGTGACTCACGCGCTCAATGGGCTTACGGATATCGGCGCCAGGGCCACCCGATCGTTGCCATCTCTGCAGCAAAAGGAGGCCCTTCTGTTACAGCTTATCAAGCACGAGATTGGCAAGCTCACGGTCTGGATCACTCCACTTGGCCAGGATACCACAAACCCAGCAGCTCCTGGACATTCCGAACTGCAGAGTCAAGAAGGGATTCTGTCTGGTCTGCTGCAAACCGCCTGGGAAGAGGACCCGCGTATTGCAGTTCAGCTCGCGACTCGATTTCCACATTCTTCGCGGCTGCGCCACGATGTTCGACAATATCTTCTCCGTCATCCCGAAAAGGCCATTCACGAGCCGGATGCGCTATACCTCCTGCTTGGATCCGAATTGCCTGCAGACATTAAGACTCAGCTGCGATATCTGCTCTATTGGGCCCCGATCAATCCCATGGCCGCCGTGACATACTTTATGCCTGCGTACAAGAACCATCCACTCATCATTCAGTATGCTGTTCGTGCTCTGGAGAGCCACTCGGTCGACATCACCTTCTTCTATGTGCCGCAAATCGTGCAGACTTTGCGATACGATGAGCTGGGTTACGTCCAGCGCTACATCGTCGAGGCGGGTGTGTTCTCTGGTCTTTTTGCGCACCAGATCATCTGGAATCTCAAGGCCAATGCGTACAAGGATGAAAACTCGGAAGTGCCAGATCCTGCAAAGCCCGTCTTTGACCGCGTCATGGAATCTCTGATCGAAAGCTTCACACCAGACGATAAGGACTTTTACGAGCGCGAATTCAATTTCTTTGGCAAAGTTACCGGTATTTCAGGCACACTCAAGCCACTCATCAAGCGTCCCAAGCCAGAAAAGAAGGCGAAAATTGAGGAAGAACTCCGCAAAATTGATCTCGATGTGGGTGTCTATCTCCCTTCGAACCCTGATGGAGTGGTCATTGGTATCGATCGCAAGTCTGGCAAACCCCTACAATCCCACGCCAAGGCTCCTTTCATGGCCACGTTCCGCATCAGAAAGGATTTGGGTAATATGGAAGCAGACTCTGCCGACGAGTCGGAAGCGCTCACTCAGAACAGGTCCCACACCTACGAAGTGTGGCAGTCCGCCATCTTCAAAGTCGGAGATGATTGTCGTCAAGACGTCCTCGCCCTCCAACTGATCGCAGCGTTTCGCGGAATCTTCAATAACGTGGGTCTCGATGTCTACGTCTTCCCATACCGCGTGACCGCCACCGCTCCCGGATGTGGTGTCATCGACGTCCTCCCCCACTCCATTTCCCGAGACATGTTGGGTAGAGAAGCGGTCAATGGACTGTACGAATACTTCATCTCCAAGTACGGAAGTGAAGACTCGATCAAATTCCAACAAGCGCGAAGCAATTTCATCAAATCCATGGCCGCCTACTCCATCATCAGCTACCTCTTGCAATTCAAAGACCGCCACAACGGCAACATCATGGTCGACGACGCCGGCCACATTTTGCACATCGATTTCGGATTTTGCTTCGACATTGCCCCCGGCGGCGTCAAATTCGAACGAGCTCCTTTCAAACTCACGCCGGAGATGGTGGCGGTCATGGGCGGCAAGGACAGCCAAGCATATCGACAATTCGAAGAATTATGCGTCAAAGTCTTTTTGGCGAGTCGACAATATGTCGAACAATTGTCGCATATTGTGCTCACCATGTTGGACTCGGGTCTGCCGTGTTTCAAACCGCAGACGCTGCAGCACTTTCAGGAGAGATTTGTCATGGAGAAGAGTGAGAGCGAGGCTGCTGGGTTTGTGCGGAAATTGGTGCATTGGAGTGAGAGGAGTCATTCGACTGCCGTCTACGATTATTTCCAGCTGTTGACGAATGGAATCCCGTACTAGGTACTTCGTCTTCTCGCGGGCCTTGCGATTGACGTGGTCCGTGAAGATCGAGGTGGAAGCAATGGAGAGAGAGTGTGGGGTTTATACACAGCTACTACCTTACGTACATATCTACCTCACCTCCTAATATACCTAAATGCTCTCATCGATCAAGTCTGAAGCCAGTCGAACATAGCAACAATACACACCAATAATGTGGGATGGTTCAGAGACATGGACAGGCAATAATAAAAACTCGTTGCATCACAGGATTATGTAGTTATATTATTCAGGGGGAGGTTTTGACTCCATGTACCAGGTCCCTACGCTCTCGGTCGCCCAGGATGTCTCCTCGTCTTCATGCGGTGCCAACAGCAAGCACATAATAGGAAAAGCAAAAACAGCCCGAGTGCCGCGCTACCAATGATGGAGGCGGCAGCGAGAGGATGGTCCTCAATCCAAATGTTAATCGCGTCCATGAGCCCCGACCATGTGAGCTTCTTCGCATTCTCGTGGCGCGCCAACTGCGTGGTGAAGACGCCGTAGCTGTCTGCATTCAAGACAGCGAGACTCGGCGACCATTTGGCCAGTTTGCGGACCCTGTCGTTGCCGTAGCAGCCTTTCTCGAGTGTCTGCGAGCTCACTGCTGTCACGTTCACGGGCGCCAAGCCTGCCTCTTTCACCTTTCTCTCGTTGTACAGAACATCAACGACTGAGCATTACCTTCGTCAGTGCGGACTCGATGGCAGTCATGGAGAGTGGTTGGGTTGACCTACTGGTACGATTGCCGCTCACGGCTTTGATATGTGTCATCTCATGGACCATGACTCCTGCTCGGTGGCGTTTCGAAGAGGTACCCTGCTTGCCCGTCTCTTTTGCGCACATCACAATCTCAGTACCTTGCTGGGTGTAAGCTGCAGCACCGAACTTCTGACACTGTCGATCAAGTTCATCGTCGTGCTGCGCGCAGATCCAGGTGACGGTCCCCTAGTTGTCCTGGATGCGACGGAAGACGCCTTGTCTCATCAGCTGGAGTGATACGGTGCGGGGGAGACGCTCTTACCGTCCACATATGCGGTGTCGTCTTTCGTTGTGTAGCCAAAGTAGCGAATTTTCAGACGCTCGACTTCTTTCGCCGAGAGGTCGGGAGGGTCGGCGATTTCTGGTGCACCAGGACTGAATTCCTGGATGAGGTTGACTTCCTCTCGGGCGATCAGGAAAGCCTCATTGAGTAGCTTCTGTTGGCGTGGTTGGCAGCCACTGAAGCGGAGGTTGACCGCGGCGCAGATTGATGCGAGGAGTGATGGGGAAAGGATGAGAGCGGCGGTGAAACGCATGCTGGATAGCTGATGCTGGAAACGAGTGAAATGGATGATGTGGATGATGTGGATGTTGATGTTGGGAACAGAGAGGTGGAGGGAAATGTGCAGATACATGTAATGGAACTCAACCTCGTCATCAGCCATGGCGACTTCCTGGTCTAGAAGAGAACCTAGGTAGTTAGGTAGTTAGGTAGTAGCTGTGACTGCCCGGCAGACCTACTGACTCCGGAAAGTGGCCAATAAGCTCCTGCCCCTCCGCCTTAAGGGGTCCCAGTATACCGTTGAGATGGAGGAAGGGAAAACGTTGGCGATCCTTGGTTATGAGCTTGTCGCAGTCCAGAGTAACATTTTCACCACCTCGTGTTGGTACGGGTTCAAGGCAAAGAGGCGCCGGGCAACCGTCGTTTGGGAGTCGGGCAGGTGCTGACAAGTCTGACGACGGGGCCAGATCTTCACATTATCATCTTCCAGGTCCCAATCAAGGACTAGGGGCTTGCAACGCTGATTACGATGTAGATGCCACTATACAGGTACACAAGCAGGTATAGGTAGTTGGTCTCTTCCCCACGGGGCCCGTAGGTGAGACGCACAAAGCCCAGCGAGCCACACATGCAGTCGCAGCCCGCAATGGGACCCATCTCTGTGCTCCCTCTGGCAGTCGAGTGCCCGCAAAAGCCCGGACCTCGATCTGGACCACTAATCTCTCCTGTTCAGCAAGATTCTCACTCCACCTTTACCTACTGATCTTCTCCTTTGCCTGCTCCGCCAGCCCTTGCACCTTACCACCCGCCTGTCCCAACTTCTCCTGCGCTTGTCCAACAAGTCCCTCAATCTTTCCCTCTGCAGTCTTCAGACCCTCCTTAGCTTTTGCTTCCATCGACTTGTCTCTGCCACCCATATACCACCAATTGATGAAACGATATCCTTGGACAGATTGTGCGCTGAAGTTGACAAGGTGGCATCCGAAAAGGAGGTAGTTCTTCGGTGTGACGGCCATGGAGTAGCGCATGAAGACTGCAGAGTAGCCGACAAGAGCGGTAGTCATGGGCCCGGAGATACTGTAGACAGATGGAAGGGTCAGAACGGGCGGAGGGAGGGAGAAGAAGAAGAAGAAATGGAAGGATGGGAGAGAACGAACACTTCGGGGTCTTTTTGTGTGTCCATCACTGCTGCGATGGGGATTCCGAAGTTACTGGCGGGACCCCAAAAGTCTGCGCGGCATGATCAGTACACCTCCCATCACCTACTCCTGCCAATGGTGGACACGCGATCGACATGGGCGACCTGACGTGTCATTCTAGGTTGTAGCTGTCGGGAACGTACGTGTTGAGCAGAGATAGTCTGTTGTCGGATTACTCCGGATTTTGGCGTTGAGCGCCTTGATCATGGCCGCCATGGCTGCTGTCGTACTTGCTCGGGAGGGTTGGAAGACGGGGCGGCGAGGTGCCTAGGAATATGTTGGAGGTATTCTGATGCTCCGAGGTGCGGTGGAGTCTTCAATGGCCGATACAGCAGACTAGTTCGTGCTCGAAGTATGGATGCTCAGAATGCTCAAGATGCTGTTCTCGTGTGCAACGCGGTCCACCTGTTCCGATCCCCGCTGCCGTTCCGCCGGTGGATGCTTGTCCGATGGGGTCCATGCGTTCTTTCACTTCACGTCTCAACTAACTTCCCTTCTTCTCTTCTCCTCTCCTCCTCTTCTTCACTTCACCTGTACCCGCATTCAGTTCGCCTTCATTGGCATCACGAGTATTATCACGTCAAGCAACTTCGAAGTCATGCTCCCGCGCAGCTCCAAGCCCTGTCAGCAGCTAGCGGACTGTAGTCATCACATCTCGGCCACAGCAGCAGCTCTCAAGTGATAGACGCATGCCATCGAACCACCTCAACGCGAGAGCTATGCCTCTTCCCCAGCACCATCATCGTAAGCCTGCCTTGGCACTTGATCTGTTTGCGGTGGCCAGTGCCATCAGCACTGGGACCATGATGCGATGGCGGCCTCGCTGGTCCTGGTCGCGAAGAACACCGACTTGGCAGTAAGCAATGGCTGCTGTGGAACATTGATCTGATCACTCTGGAGAGTTGTAGTTGCCTGCTTGAAAGCCAATATAATTGCCACGCGATTCATCCCCAAATCATGTCGAACCTGTCTGTTCATACTTTCTCACTGAGCCCGCCAGCTCGCCATAGTAGCGTCGTTTTGCCAAGACAAGATGCGGCTGATTGATACCAGAACGCTCGAGTTTGCCGTCTACAATGGCGCAGCTATACCACCATATGCTGTACTCTCCCATCGCTGGAACCGAGACGAGGTGACCTTTGCAGATTATGCTGACGTCGCAGCGCAAAATGGAAATCGTTTCCGCAAGATTCGTCATCTCTGCAGCCGAGCTCTCGCAGACGACCTCAATTTCGCATGGATCGACACTTGTTGTATAGACAAGACTAACAGCGTGGAGCTCTCCGAGGCCATCAACTCGATGTTTACATGGTACATGGACTCGGCTATCTGCTACGTCTTCTTAGCAGACTACCATGGTCCTCAAGGCTTGGGACAATGCGAGTGGTTCACTAGAGGCTGGACACTGCAGGAACTGGTAGCGCCTGATCAGGTCCACTTCTATGATGACCGAATGGCCTACCTGGGGTCTCGTGACACGTTACAGCCAGAGATTCACGTGATTACAGGCATTGCATCGGAGTATATGGGCTCCACCAATGACTACTCGGAGAAAAGTCCCAATGTGAGGAAGGCAAGTGTGGCCCGTAGAATGAGTTGGGCTTCCTCTAGAGTGACCGAGAGAGCCGAGGATGTGGCATACTGTTTGCTCGGGATCTTTGACATCAATATCCCCATGATGTATGGCGAAGGTGGTGTCAACGCATTCTCAAGGCTCCAACGAGCGATTATCGCACAGTCCGACGACGAGAGTCTGTTCGCCTGGGCCTCTGAGTCGGACGGAGTGCGTGGTATGTTCGCTCGCCATCCACGCGAATTTCAGAACTCGAAAGATATCATACCGCGCCCTTTCCTACTGCGAAGACCGCCAGTCATCATGACAAACCAAGGCCTGGAGGTTCACCGTCTCCCCCGGTCGCTTCTCAGGCGAATCATCGTTCCAGGAGCCGAAGGTTCAGCTGATGAGGATCCCATTCTCACCCTACAATGCGTGGAGAATCGACCAGGCCAGGCTCTCCGCAGACTAGCGATTCGTCTCGTCAAAACTCGGGAGGGGATTTGGGCACGAACGGCGACATCTCGCCTGGAATCACAGGACATTGAAGACGGATTTGTCGATGCAGTATATCCTGGTGGCTGGGTCAAAACATATATTGCAGCCAAGTACAGCCCCACTGAGGCGGTTGACCTGATTCCACATGTCTCCGTCCGTGGAGTGGTCGCACAAGCAGTCGACACGGGCTATGACGCTGTGGAGCCTTGCCGCTTTCTCGTGGAGCTATCGCGACCAGGGGCACTTGATCGGACCGCAAGAAGCGATGCAATCGTGCTTGCTGTTGATGATTGGATGGAAGTGGACTGGCCTCAGCTATCTCTACTTATGGATCACATTCCTCGCAACGACGATGCCCGGGTATGTAATGGACAAGCTTCCCGCCTGGTGGTTTCCCCGGAGGGCTGTGTGGGGCACACCCTTCTTGAGTGTGTTCCATGACGCGTCGCGCTGGACGGTCATGTTGGGAGTGGGATTGGCAACGGTGTACGAGATGAGGATCCGAGGGTTGTTTGCACGCTGAGAAGATGTTGCATCGAGATGACTGGGAAAAACATGATGGGTTTTCCTATGACCTATCTATGTATTCTTGTAAAAGTTTCTACATTCATTGGATTTAATTCATCTTCATTCGTGTCGCATCCCTATAGCCCCACGTCGGTGCAACGTTGACTTGACTTGTGTACGTAGTAGCAGGTTTGTACCTCCTACCATGAAGAATGTATCCCAGCCCAGCTCAGATCAGATCAGATCAGAGTCCCTCTGTACGTAGGTATATATGTATATACCTACAGGTAAGATAGGTAGGTAGGTAGTAAGAAGAGATCCATTACCCGTCACATCAGAAGCTAGAAGTACTGAACTACCTTACCTACATAAGGTACCTACCTCTTGTACATATATAGTACGTACCTTAGGTATATATACCTCTATAGTACATGTACCCAAGAGCCAGATAAGGCAAGAATAAGATAAGATAAAAAGATAGGTACCAAGATAACAAACAGAAACCAACCACGCCAAGTATGTACCTACTAAGGTACAGTACCTAGTAGAAGTTCCGGATGGATAGATTGCCTTATTGGTTACTAGTAGGTAGGTAGGTACATATAAGGTAGGGACGGGATACAGATGTGTAGATCCGTCTAGGTATATAGATTACCTGCTTGACTTGACCTGACTTGACCTCCTACCTTCGACTACGTCTTGCCCTTGGCGCATACCTAGGCGTAGGGTGCATTGCAAAGAAGCGGCTTTGGGGACCTGGGCGTGGTTGGCAAGAGGCGTTATTATCGTCATTGTCATTATCATCATCGTCATGTGCGATGAAGTTGACGATAATCATTATGCATGCCCGGCTACCTGATCCTAGTACAGAAGATCAATGCAGCGCCTATCGTTGGAAATTGGAAGAGGGGGAGGGGGAGGGGGGAGAGAGGGGTTTTGTAGACAGAACTGAAAAGGTACATGTAGGTTACGACTACCGTAGTCGGCTAGTGCTTCCCAGACTCCTTATCAAGTATACGTCTTTTAGGGGAGAGAGTTGAAACTCGAGAGTTGTTGTCGTTGATAAAGAGACGGCGGGAAGTTTCCCCGTCAAGAGTCAAACGTCCCTCGGTGACCGGGTTGGCGCCTCCTTCCTTCAGGGTCCACTTGGCAACGTGACTCATCGTCGTCGTGTGGAGGATGCATGCACGACAGGGTCGACGTGGAGGTTTCGTGTTCCCGTCGGTGAGGAAAGAGGAAAATGAGATGGATTGGACGTGGCCTCCCTCTGTCGCCACTTTCCGGCGAGACGTCTGTTGAACTACGGTCGATCAAATCATACCTACCTGTACCTGGTATGACACCTTAGTGGAAATGACGCGAGTCCGGCGCGTGATCGTAGTCTCGAGGGCACGGGACAGACGTGACCATTGACCACTGACCACTGAACACCGCCACTGACCACCTCACTGCTGATTACCTGTAGGAGGTAGCCGTTTCTAGAGAATTGTCGCATGTCGACATTACCTACAGCCAAGCTACAGTGTATACGGGCCGTACATGGAGGCGAAGCGAAGGGGTGCATGTCTGCCTCGCAACATGGCCTGTCCAGTACATGTACCTCCTATATAGTACACTCGATGATCAACTGGGCAACGTACCTAACGTACCTTAAGGTATTGTAGTATCACCGTATATACACGGTGATTAGGTAGAAGAGAATAAATGATAATGATAAGAAGAGAGGAGGTCTAGAAGGGTCAAGGCGTCCCGACGGGAGGGCGATAGAGGAGGCCGCTGCTCTTATCGCGACGACGCTAGCTGTATCCGTCCAGCTATCCTAGTTACAACAGCAAGAGCAACCAGCAGCCTACCTCCTACTCCTACCGCCTACCTACCCTACCTGCCCTACCACAGCTGCGGCGGTGGGCCGGCCATCTCGACATCACCTGCACACACACATACACACCCGACATCACTGCACTCCTACTCACCTCCGCCTCCGCTCTCCGCCTCCGCCCTCCACCGCCCTCTCCCTCTAGGTCCCTCTCACTCTCCCCCTCCGCCTTCCCTCATCACTACCACCACTAGCACCACCACCATCCATCACTCGCTTCACTCTACTTCACTCTACTACAGTACCTGACCTACTTACTCCCTTCCCACACACTCACACCCGTCCGCCTGCCTACGATCGTCTCGCTCCGCTTCCGCTTCTTCACTTCTTCTACCCTTTTGCCACAACCACCAATCACACCACACACCTTGTCTTGCTCTCTTTCGTCCTCCATTGTATTAATTGCTTGCTTGCTACCTTACCTAGCTTGCGTGCTTGCTTGCGTGCTTGCCTGTCTACCGCCACCGCCATCGCCATCGGTCACGGGTCCCATCACCAGTCATCATCACAACATCCCGTCACGAGCTTCGAGTCACCTCAACTCCAATCCACGACACTGCGCCGCCAGACATCTCGCCCTCCGCTCCATAACAACATCTGCTGTCTGCACACACACACACACACGCCGCCGCCACCCGCCTGCTGTCACGAGCGCCCCGTCCCTCCACTCGAGCCGCGACTCTCCCTCCTCGTCCCTCTACGCGCGCGCGAAACCCCCGCTCATGTTAGCTGCTCTCTGCACTGACTAACTCCCCAGCAACCGACATCGCACGCCGACCTGCTTCCTCTCTGATGCGTCGTATCATCCGGCGCATCTCTCACTACCATCTATAACTGTGCCTGGGGGAACCAAGAGGAGGTACCGACGAGACTGTGTGACCGAGCAGTTACTCCGCCATCATGGCGGCAAGGATGCCGGCCGGAGCTTCTTCATCCAAGAAGCCCGAGCCACCAACAGAGATCCAGCCTGATGAAATCATAGGCGAGTTCAAGAGGGGCAAGGAGATTGGCAAGGGCAGCTTCGCCACGGTCTATCTCGCCCAGCATAGGGTGAGCATTTCCTCCTCCTGCAACCTAGTGAGCATCGGCGTGGACACCTACTGACTGCTGTACAGAAGAGAAAGTCGTATGCCGCTGTCAAGGCCGTCCAGATGACCAAGCTGTCTAAGAAACTGCGCGAGAATCTGACGACCGAGATTGAGATCCTCAAAGGCCTCAAGCACCCGCATATTGTTCAACTATTCGTCTGTGATGAAACTTCCTCCTTCATTTACCTCGTCATGGAGTACTGCCAGCTTGCCGATCTGTCCCAATTCATGAAGAAGCGCTACCAGCTCCCCACCCTCCCCGAGACGGCAGACATTTTCAGAAGGTACCCCAATCCCGACGTCGGTGGTCTGCATGAGGTCCTAGCACACCATTTCCTCAAGCAGATTGTCAGCGCCTTGCAATACCTGCGCTCCTACAACCTCATCCATCGCGATATCAAGCCACAGAACCTACTACTCAACCCTGCCCCCACATACATGTCCAGGCTCAGGCCCGAGGATGTGCCGCTCACCACCAGCGAGTACTCACTGACTCCAGCTGTCGGCCTCGCCTCGTTGCCTATGCTCAAGATTGCCGATTTTGGATTCGCTCGCCATTTGGCTAAAACGTCAATGGCAGAGACCCTCTGCGGCTCGCCTCTCTACATGGCTCCGGAGATTCTACGCTATGAAAAGTATGATGCACGCGCTGATCTGTGGTCAACTGGCACCGTCCTGCACGAAATGATTGTAGGTAGGCCGCCATTCCGGGCTCAGAACCATGTGGACCTGTTGCGCAAGATCGAGACTGCACAGGACAAGATCAATTTCGACCAGTCGCTCGTCATCAGCCGCGCCATGAAAACACTGATCCGCAAGCTGCTGAAGAAGGGCCCGATCGAACGTATGACGTACGAGATGCTGTTCGAAGACCCATTGATCGTTGACGAAATTCCGGGTCTCCATCCGGAAGATAAGGTCCGAGAACAGGGTACTTTGGCTGCAGATGTTCAGGTGTCAGAGCTCAGTAAGAAGATGGCGTGGGCCATGGAGTCGGATGCATCTCCACGATCCAAGCCTGCATTGGGACTGCAGAAGAAGCTGTCAGAGGACGAAGTGCGGCGTGGTACGAGCCGCAAGGCATCAGAGGAAGCTATGCAGCAGCGTCGATCGATCGACATGGAACGCCGCAAGTCCTCGGTGGGAAGTTCTAACCCTCCTGAAGCCGCTGGGCTGAAGCGTCAGCCCAGTCAACGCGAGCAGCAACACCGTCGACCCAGCGTCGTGGGCCATATCACTGCTCCGGGGCGCCAGGAACTTCACCAGCAGCAGCAGCAACAGCCTCAGCAGCCTTCCATTCAACCTGCAACCATTGCGCGTAGAGCGAGCCGCTCATCGCCCCTTTCTGGGCCTCCTCTTGTCCGCGAGCCTACTTTAGAGGCCGACCGAGACGATCGTGGTACTCGAGAAGCGAAAGAACGGACCGCTCATGAAATCGCATTCGAGAGAGATTGGGTCAAGGTGGAGAAGCGTGCAGTGGAAGTCAATGCTTTCGCCGATGAGATTGATGCTTTGCAGGGCTTACCGACTCACCAAGGCGCCTTGGTTCGACGCGCGACCACGCAAGGCCAGCCCACCTCGATTACCGGTGCCACAGCGGCAGCTTCACGAGCCGTACAGGTCATATCGGGCCGTGCGCCGCATCAGCGCGGCTCATCGTTTGAAAGGCGCACATATGCGTCCCCACACTCTCCTGGCAACATGCTCACCAAAGCGTTGAATGCTGCCAATGCACGCCTGTTTGGCCCTGGAAACTCGCCTCCTTACGGAGGACCGTCTCCACCGCTCGGCTACGGCGCGTTTCCCGCATACCCAACTCCATCTGCAGCTCTGGCTTTTACTGATGTAACGGAGGTGAAGCTGATGGATGAGGACTCCAAGCTGGTTCGCACATTGGAGGATGCAGCTCATCGCAGCGACGTCATCTTTGGCTTTGCTGAAGTCAAATATAAACAGTTGCAGCCTGCACCGCCCTCGTCTCAGGATGGTTTTGGTATTCAGCAACTTCGCGCTCGAGAAGATGCGAGCGACGAGGACCCTGAGGACAAGGAGTTGTCCGACATTGCCGTCGTGGGCGTCGCCGAGGAGGCACTGGTGTTGTATGTCAAGGCCCTCGCCGTCCTCACAAAGACTATCGATCTCGCTGGTATATGGTGGAATAAGCAAAAGGAGCATGGTGGAGGCACATCATCTGATGGTGTCTCGGCTCCACAGGGAAGCACGGGAGGTAAAGTCTTGGGTGTGGTAAAGTGGTGCCGCAATCGCTTCAACGAGTGTCTGGAAAAGTCGGAGATTGCGGGACGTCTTCTGCAGCATGCCCAGCGACAACTGCCTGAGCATCACAGCAGTCATCCCAACAATCACAGCGTCCACTCGGGCACAGACGTAGCAACTTCGGCCGATCACATCCGTATAACGAGCGGTGTCACTGCCGAGCGGCTGATGTTCGATCGTGCTGTAGACATGAGTCGCGCCGCTGCGGTGGATGAGCTGACTGGCCATGATTTGGGTGACTGCGAGATACGGTACAAGACTGCGATTCAGCTACTCGAGGCGGTTCTGGAACGAGATGATCAGCCTCTGATGCGCAAGCCAAGCCAGAAGAAGGATGTTTCCGCCGAAGAAGTCATCAACGGCATGGAGACGGAGGACTGGCAGACGGTTGTTAGAAGTGAGTCCACCCCCATTTGCATGCTGTAGTACTTGATGAAAACTAACACGAATTCTTCCAGTCATCGATCACTCTCGGACCCGCCTCCTTGCTGTCCGCAAGAAGATTCACGTCAACCAGCATGCCAACACACTCAAACGCGCTCCAAGCAGCGGTGGATCGACACCCAAGCCCACGAGTCTTCCTTCGCCGAGTCTGGTAGCACACGCTACTTTTGGCAGTGCGTCTCCACGATGATGTTTGCCGTGAGCATCAATACACGATGCATACAACCATGCACGCGCACTTTCGGCGCACATTCACACCAACTGTTTTCGACTAGCAAGGCCGCTTTTGACGCCAATTTCGGTTTACGTTTTTCCGCGAGATATCGACGATGAATCAGAGCCACGTCCGGTCACACAACGAGAGTCTACGAGGGGGAAGGCGCTTTATTGTAAAGGATTGCTTTTGTTCCGATACTGAACACAACTGGGATTATGGGCAAGGATAAATTGACGAAAACACAACCAGATTGCACACGGAGTTTCTGTTTTGGGGGACGGGTGTTTGCCCGAGGGTGTTACACCGGAGTGGACAGGGAGTGGTCAATGCTGCTGCTGCTGCTGCTGCCACTGGGCGTTATACTGTGGATGGATGGATGGATAAGCATTGAGATATGATACCACGACTGCAATGGCCGGGCTGAGCTGAGCTGAGCTGATGAAGATGAAGCGCGCCAGAGCCGAAGCCTATAGGTCGCACCTTTACCTGCATGTTTACTACTACTACTACTACTGAGCGCACTGTCCGCGCGTATAGGCTATGGATGGATGACTGAATGGAATACGCTTTCTCCTCTTCTGCTCTTTGGTGGAAAAACAACGAGAGAAATGAGGTTTTTTGATAGCTAGCTAAGCTCTAGACTACAATAACTGCAAATACTCGGTTACTATACACTGCACTTGAATTCTATTATATAAGATACGTATAGATATGTATATATGTCTAATAATGAGTTAGGTATTCCGAATTAGCTAGGTGAGTGATGAGTCGGCAATCGAACTACCTGTAGACACCGGGATTCGATCGATAGTGGAATAATTGGACCTTTGGACCGATCGGATTGGATTGGATTGGATTAGATTTGGGCCGGCTATTCATTGACACACACACGTGCACATATACACAGGCAGGCAGGCAGGCAGGGAGAGAAAGAGAGAAAGAGAGAGTGACTGAAAGAGGAATGATAATTGCTCGTCATTTTCGAGTTGGAGCTACACACCTATTCTAGCCACATGACACGGGAATCTCATCATGGACCGTACGGAGTCAATTTGAATCACAACTTCCAAATCACCACCCTTCCATCCACGCCTGCAGAACTAATCTGGCTGACCGATCCCGTACTGCCTCCCCCATTATAAGCACGAATCTTGTTGATAGTGTTCTGATGCACCGTCCTCAGTTTCGTATCGTCCACTGAACCTCCGCCTCTGCCCTTCAAATCCATCGATCGGAACATGTTCAATGCACTTTCCTCTCTCACGACGCCCTGGCCAGGCCCCGCGCCAGCTTTCTCCAGCGAACCAGTGAGCTGCCAGCCTGAAACCGATCCGCCGAATTTGTAGACTTCACAGTCATAGCCAGCGCACACAATCTCCGATTCAGAGATCCAGAGGAGGTCTGCGAAGGGGAGGAGTTGAGTGTTGATGGAGATCACAGCTGATGGTGGTTGTTCGGGCGCAGAAGGGTACACCACTGTGATGCTGCTGTCATGTGCGGTGAAAGCCAGCGCATCGCCCGAAGGAGAGAAAGCTACACTGTGAACCCATCCTGCCGTCGAGTTGAGGTATTCTCCGCAGACGGTATTGAAGGGTAGACGTTCGCCCCAGACACTAGCTTCCGGACGCTGATCCGTCCCTTTAATGAAAGAGGAGAAAACCCGTGCATGGCCATCTGTGGATCCCGCCGCGAGGAGGACGGAGTTGGGGTGCCATGCTACTGAGGTAACGGTAGAGCGTAGTGGCTTCTTCAAGTGCTTGGATACCCACCAGTCATTCTCTTCTTCGAAGTAGCAGACTGCGATGATCCGAGCTCCACTTCCCACGGCAAACTTGGACTCGTTGGGAGACCATCGCACGCACGTTGCAGCTCGGTTGATTCTCAGCAGTACCAAAGTCGGCTTCCAGCCTCCTTGTGGGGAGGGCTCCCAGACGTATGCATTTCGGTCTTGAGAGCAGGTGACAATCCTACCGGAAGAGGGAGCGATGTCGACGCCAGTGACTGTTTTGTCGTGACCGCGAAGTTCGTCCTGGAGAGTGAACTTGTTAGAGGAGGTGGAGTAGAGCTCGACATTGGAGTCCCGCGTGACGGCGAGAGTGCTGCGGTCGGCGGAGAAGGAGTGGTCGGCAATGGGCGCGTGGAAGAGGTGGTGCACTTGGGGAGAAGCCATTATCGCATAGACAGGAGGGGGGGACTCTCTACTGTCGATGTTGTTGTTGTTGGTGGTGAGGAAGAAGATCTGCCTGGAGGAGGTGACGACGGTGAAGTGGGACTTGACGGTCTGACATGCATCGGCTTATCGGCAAGTGGAGACGTCGATCAACGAGGTACCTGGAGCCTGGAGGTACCTCCACTTCACTTTTCGAGATTCATCAACCACATCAACACCTCACAATACCACAACTCCCGTCTCCAGTCACAGCCGCTGACAACATGGCGACGACCGTGACCACCACAGATGCCACGACAGCGATTCCTCCCAGCCAGTCCCTCTACCTGCAAAATCTTCCCGAAAAGCTTCAGAAACACGACCTGAAGCGAAACCTCTACATGCTTTTCTCAACCTATGGCCCCGTTCTCGACGTCACAGCCGTGAAGACCTCGAAGATGCGAGGTCAAGCGCACGTTCTGTTTCGAGACGCCAATACCGCTACCCAGGCGATGCGACACACACAAGGAATGGATTTCTTCGGGAGAGAATTGGTGAGTTTCTTCGTGTTGCTTCAGAGCGAATGTGAGACCAAAAAGAAGCTGCTGCTGATAGAAAATCTAGAAAGTAACCTACGCCAAAACTCGCTCTCAGACCCTTGCGAAACTCACAGGCACATTCCACGACGAACAACAAACTGCAAAGGATGCTGCTACTGCAAAGACATCAGCAACGGGGGCACCTTCTTCCCTGCCTGCTCCCCCCGGCGGCCTGCCTGCTCCTCCTGGCGGCCTGCCTGCTCCTCCCGGCGGCCTACCTGCTCCTCCCGGCGGCCTGCCTCCTCCACCTGGCTTGCCCCAAAAGGTCAACGGAGAAGCGATGCCCAAACCGCCAGGACTGGCAGTCACAAAGGATGGGGCGGAGAATGCGCCCAGTCCCGCTGTGTCGATTGGGCAAAAGAGGCAGAGAGATGAGAGTGAGGACGAAGCAGAGGGAGGAGACGACGCACCGATGGAGGAGGATAGTGACGGAGGAGATATGGATATGAGTGACAGTGACTGAAAGAATTGCTTGGCAAAATGATGCAGTGATATTGATCCGGGTCAGACTCAGGCGAAACTGAGCGGATTCGTGGATCGAGACGATCCGGGCGCTGGCCTACGTACAGGCCTCGGGCTGGCCGCGCTATACTGAATTGCTGGACTCGAGACACCGTAAAGAACACGGGAAGTACACCGAGTTGTAGGTATTACTCGAATACCTCGCCTGACGTCGTACCAAGTCTGACATTCTGACAAGCGTCTCTTAAGGAACGAGCCTCAGTACGCTTGAGCTGGTTTCTATCCTAGCGTACCCGTAAAGTGCACTATCTCACATTGAAGATGTAGCCTAAAATGATGAGAACTGAGGGATCTATCTTGGCAGCGTGAAGGATTTCCGCAGAGGAGACCCATTCCAGCAATCATGGCTGCGATGAGTGCCCTAGTCACCTATTCTCAAGAATCACCAAGGCTCAAAAATTCAGTGACAGGCAGCCGCCGCACACTGCCTTTGTTCGTGAGTGCTTGGTAGCTAGCGCATTGCGGATAGCATCGCTACTGCACGGAGTTTGCGGTCAGCAGTTGTTCTCTGTCCTCGCCGCAGCGCTTATTACTTTGTTCAAAGTCTACCTCGATTGTCACGGTCCCCGCGTGGAGATGTCAGAGCAGCCGGTCATGACCTGATCCGCCAACCCGAGCTCGCTTACAGGGAAGAAAGATGCTTTGCGAAGTCTGATGCTTTTTGCCTAACGGTCACTCCACTCCAAGCTCCAAATTTTCTCACTCTGGCAACTTGAAAATGCCTAACTCTACCAATCTGCCCAGCATTGGAGAGAGAGATCTTCAGCGAAAGACGCGCGTTGTCTGCAGATATGGCTGACGGTGAGGAGCGTGTGCACTTTGTTGGTCGCAGCGGATGGTGTCTGGCTTCGACGTTGCGGCGCAATAGACATTTGTTGATATGCCTGCTGGTATGAATGACACTACCTTCTCCTCCTGCGAGCGAAGGCGGTGCTCACACTATGTACCAGCTGTTCGCCTTCATCGCTCCCAAATTACAATTCGATCTTGTGGCTTACAGTCTCTGACCTAGACTCGTGGCTTTCAGTATCCGGGACTGACAACTGATTACATAAGGTGATATATCTGCTGTAGTAGAACTGTACTGGGGTGGGAAAGAGAAAACCTGAAAACCTAAAATAATAGACATGTGCCCCGCATGCGGGATCGGGCCGGGTTGAACGGACGCGCCTTCCCGCGCTAAAGAGTTCGCGTGTTTGTCATGTTGATGAAATGAAAGTGAGGTGATGGTTGTGAACACCTTCACCTTCAACAATCTGATCATCACTCTACCTCCTCTCAGCACCACCTCGCCTGCCTGTACCACTCTCCGATTTTCCAGTGCGACTCACCAACGACCACGCACGCTTCTACTTCTCCTTCATCTTCAACGCAATCGCCCGCACTGGCCGCAACCACCCCTTAGGCTTTAGCTCGGAGATCACACACACCTTCCATATTCTCGCCTCCACGACAAAAACAGCACACTCCATGACACGCCGCGCCGCCTAAGCAGCCCACCATCGGAGAGACGGCGACCATGTCTGGCAACGAGAGCTACGACGCCTCCGAGGGCGGCGCACGAAAGCGGATTAAGACGTCGAAGACGGGCAGCCGTGCCGTGAGCCATGGACCTGCCAGTCCTATTGTCATCCCCTCCGACACGCCTCTCAAACCAGCGTCGGGCCCAAGCAATTGCGGAGTGCCGATACCCAAGATTGAGCAGACACAGCAGCAGCAGCAGCAGCGCGGCGGCCATGTACACGATGAACACTGCCACCACGAGCAGTCCCTGCGCGCGCTGCACACCGACATGGACGCCATGCGGCATCTCATTACATGCAAGATGTGTTATCGCTTCCTGTACGAGCCCTACGGGCTGAGCTGCGGCCACACATATTGCTACAGCTGTCTAGCGCAATGGATGTGCAACTCCAAGACGTGTCCCGACTGCCGCGCCAAGGTCAAGGAGCAGCCCACGCCGACGTTCCTGGTTCGAGAAATGGTGAGAGTGTTCGTGGCGAAGGACGAGCTACTACCGGACGGAGAGACGAAAGAAGAGCATGCGAAGATGGCAAAGGAGGAAGCTGAACTGGTCGCAAAAGATAGAGCGAACGAGGATGTCGCATTGGGAGGTCTATTCCGGGGACGCTTCCGCAAAGGAAGCAGATTTCACCCTGTAAATGCTTTTCGCGATGAAAGTGATAACGTTTGGAGATGTCCCGCTTGCATGAACGAGGTCGAGGATGGAAGATGTGGGCAGTGCAATCTGCGAGTCCACACGGATGGGCAGGACGACGAATCCGAAGATACGGACACTGACGATCTTTCCAGCGAGCTCGATGGCTCACTTGAGGATATGGATCACGATGGTGATGTCGACCTTGGGTTGGACGGGAGCAACTTTGGGGCCGACGGCTTCGGGGATTACCGTCTCACGTTCAATGAGGCTGGCGACGACCTCAGCATTGAGATACCTGATTACTACGAGTCCGAAGACTCTGGAGACGACTTGAGTGGCTTTGTCGATGACGATGTGCACTACGAAGACGATGCCACTATCGACGGATCTGAGGACGAGGCCCAAACAACACCGGCACAGCCTTCGGCCTCACAGCAACGCCGCAGACAGAGAACTGCAGTGGTCGTTTCTGACTCGGGCTCGGACTCTGACAATGTCGAAGAGACTACAGATTCGCGACGTGTGGTTCCAACTCGTTGGCGCCCCGATGAAGCATCCTCAGGCGGCGCAAGCAGAGACTCCGAGGATTCAGCAGACGAAAGTGACGATGAGCCGATAGTGAGCAATACCCAACGAAACCGACGTCCGGCTGGCCGACAACGACCAATCGCGATTGACAGTGACGATGAGGAAGCTGAGGACAGGGATCAACAGCCACCTGATGATGAACCGCAGGTGGACCTCTCCCGGTACCAAGCAGCCTTCTCGCCCTCAAGTGATCACACCAGCGCGTCTGACACTTCAAGCGACGCAGAGGGATACGCGCGAGTTCGTCAAATGAATGCCGCTGCTCGTTATGGTGCACCCGAGGACGAGGACGATGACGATGATGACGATGACGATGTACCAGCACCCAGCCGTCAAACAGCTGCACGCCACGCTTATGACCTTGACGGCGACGAGGAAGAAGAAGAACAAGAAGAAGCAGAGGAAGATGAAGGAGAAGAGGAAGAAGAGAACTGCTCTGAGGACCATGATGATGACGATAGCGAAGCAGGACACAGTATGACTAACGGGTGGGCTCCCAGCTCTTCATCTCCTGATCCCAAACGACCCTTTTTCGCTAACCTTTTCCTGCCAGATTCTACATCTGATCGATACGCATATACTCATCGCCTTCACACTCTTCAACCTCGACGCCACCGTCATCGCAGCCCACCACCCGATCACTCTCCTTATTATCCGCAAGGAAACCCTCGCGTGCAACCTACATACCGCACGAGCCGCATCCCAGCAGATGTAGTTGCTAGAGCAGCAGCTACAGCACGCGGGGCCACAGCCTTAGAGCCGAGACATCCCTTTCAGCTTTCGAGTACGCTAGCCCGGCTGAACGCTGAGCGAAGGCAACTTGACCATGGAGATGGCGCTGATTCCGAAGACGAGGCTGAAATTGCGCAGTATGTATCAGGCTCTAGGTCTAGTGGAAGCAGTAGGACTTTCGATGACGAGGATTCTGCCCATACTTCTCGGGCTGGACTGGATCGCCGGAGCCGGAGATGAGGACAGGGGGAAACTTGGAGTGAAGAAATGCTATCGATCATCCACTACCCTGAGTAGCTGAGTGGGCTAGTGAGAAGCTGCTGATCGAAGACTTCCGCTGCGTGAATACATCGGACTCTGTTGATAGACGAGACGAGACGAAACTCTTCTCCCTCAATCTGTCATTTCTTGGGGCAGATGAACAGCACGGCGCTCGCAAGCAGACTGTGCTGCCGCTCATGTACGTACTACAGCGATGAAATACGATTCCAGGACCCAGTCATTCCCTACTCACGAGAAATTCTCCCGCCACCTTGTCGCTTTCAGGCAATAGCAGATTCCACCACATGCATGAAAGAAAGGAATACACATTACCTATGCGGGCTTCCTTTATGCTTGCGACTCTCGGCAGTGCATGGAAATGGATACACAAAGGTCAGATATATAAAGCTGTACCTATAATGTAGATGCGTTCAGCGAATGTATGCTTTCCTCAGCATCGGACCCCGTATGTATGTTACCTAGGTATTTCTTAGGAGGTAAGGCTAAGTTGATTGTTCACGTCGAGACGCGCGAGATGTTGTCGGACCAAAATAGCAACGACCCAATCACAGCCAATCATGAGCAGTCCGTGCGCCCGTGCTGAAACCGAAACCCAATCTCACTCGACGACATGTCTCGCCTCCGACAACCACCCACCACCAGCGCTTACGACGACGGAACGACGACAATGCGCGAACATGCCGCCGTGTACGACCATCTTTTCCTCCAGAGGCATTGCTGCGAAATAAACGATTGGACGTCGAGAAGTCCCTGTGGCTACCGACGGCAGACGATGGCGTGCCTGGTGGGTAGGGCATCCTTTACGCGAAACGGCAGGCCTTCAACAACACGGCCATAGTCTCGGAGTGAGAGTCCGCATATCGTACGGCGGAGGAACCTTTTCGTCTGTCTGCACTTTCAACGTGTTGTCTGTCGCTCTTGCGCGAGGTGAGGTGTTGTTCTCTGATCCTCTTTGTCCGATTCCTTCACTTCTTTGCACAAAACCTTTGTTCGATATTGCTTTGCTGGTCAAGCTTCTTTTAACCCCTTCTTTGTACGAGCAGCGGCCTTTGAGCTGCATTTCTTGACATAATAGCAAGTCTGGTGTGCTGTGCACTCGCCATATTCCCGACTGGTTTTCCCACAGTCCTTGACGGCATACTCTCTCACATACCGCAATTGCAGGCAATTGCTCCCAATATTCACGACTCTCACGGCAACGAAAACGATCTCAAAATCTAGACTATTCATAAGAAAATCTTTCTCGCGCGCGCGAAACTTCCCGAAATGACTTTCTCGAGCTGCTTCGAGAAAAAAATGAACGAGCACATGCACGACGACGGCCAGCCTGAACGAGCTCCATCCGAGTTTGAGGACACGGATATGGCGATGAAGAAGAAAGGTCTTTCCTCACCACAATTTGACGACGACGAATTCAATGAGAAGAGACGAAGCCAGCCACCACGGTTCTCGACCATATTTGGAACCGGCTCTACTCCACCACCACCACCACCGCCACGCCAACACTTCCAAGAGTACTACCCCGAGGCGCGAAAGAAGTCTGGCGTCCACTTGTCCATGCCTGTGTTCATCTTCTTCGTGGCAATTCTCTTCTTCTCCTGGACCATCATCTTCGCCTACACCATCATCGGCCTTTACAATAATGCGCCAGCTCGTCTCTTCCCTTGGGCTGGCCAGGGCGCGGCGAGAATGGCAGCAGCTTGTGACTGCAACACAGTGCCGCCACAGACGCAGCCCAATGTCAATATTGCACCGAATTTCGTCGTCCCGCATCAAGCAAACTCTAGCCCGCAGATGATTACCATTACTGCTTCACCAATTACCGTCACGGCAACGCCCAGCACTGTCACTGCCACACCTAGCACCATCACCATCACGCCCAGTACCTCATCGACCACGACAAGCAGTAGCACCGCCTCCTCCTCCTCAACAAACAACCCCGCACCAGCCATCGCGTCCGAAATCGCCGCCATCCTGGGAAGTATCTCCAAAACCACATCTGAATCCATCGCCATCGTCACAGCCAGTGCGACAAGATCCACCGTCACATCCGTGAAGTTGATCACACAGGATGCTTCCGGAAACGTCATTTCTGCTACACCTGCTCCGACCGTGACATTGACTACAGTTGTGGATCCACCTGCTGCAAGTGGAAGTGGAGGTGGAAGTGGGGCTGGTACGAGTGCGGCAACGAAGACGACGATGGAGCCGATTGTCATTGTGCCGACGACTATTTCGTAATGCACGATACGATTAAGGGGTTTGTGAAAGATGGGAATGGAAGAGAGGCCATTGATCGGCGGACTACTGAAGACGGACCGATCGGGTAAGTGTGGACAGATGATTTGTGTGGAGATAAACAAAAGTAGGTAGGGATAGAACACTCCAATATGATGGATACCGATACACTTACGATGCACTCTTTCTATTTGCTTTCCTATGTTCGTTATCATCATCATCACATTCACATCCACGTTCCTCTTCACCTCTTCTTCTCCACCTGCACACCTACTTTCCCTCCTCCGGAGGCATGACCATCTCCTTCCCATTACTCTCCGTCACATCCAAGCCCACCAAGAACCTGCTCACCATATTATACCCAGCCACCGTAATCATCAACTCCATAACCTGCTGATCCGTAAATTTCCCCTTTAACCTCTCCACCAACTCCTCGTCCACATTCACATGTTTCGTACTCTGCTCCGTAAACCGCAACACATCTTGCTCGTCTTCACTCAACACCGCCCCCGAACCCGCATTATCACCACTACTACTACTATTCCCATCCACCGACTTCCCCTTCAACTCCAACAACGCCTTCAAAACCTCCCTCCTCCCACCGTCAGCCTTCAAATAAATTTTCGAATGCGCGGTCCACTCATACACAGCACCATTCAGCACAGCAATATAACAAATAGCCAATTCCGCCAAATGCAGAGGAAAAGACGATTGGGTTCGAATGGCTCCCATGAGAGAATTGTAGCCGTCTGCGATGGCGGGGTTGTGGAGGAGGGCGAGATCGAGAGGGATGAGAGGTCGAGGGGCGCGGCGGGCGGCTATGCGGGAGTAGATTTCTGAGGTGGAGGGTGGGGAGGTTGCGGGTGGAGTGGAGGGGGCGTAGGGGATGCGCATTTTGGAGGGGGAGAGGGTGTGGAAGGTTGTGGTTGTTGTTGTTTTGGTGGTTCTGGTGGTGGTTCTGTGGAAGAGGAGGAGGTTGTGAAGAGGTTTGGTCATGTGATGGCGAGTGGGTGCGGAGGATGTGATGGTGGTTACCTTGCGGTATATATACTGTACAGCTTCTCTCTCTTTCCCTCAGTAGGCGGGGGATATGGCAGAGCTCTCTCTTGCGTACCGAAGGTCGGCTTCGGAGCTCGGCAGTGAGGTCAGATATGTCAGCAGCGTTCCTTGCTGTACGAGTAAGACAATAACTTCTCTTGGTAAAGCTCTAGCTGCTCTACCCCTACCTGCCTGTACAGCACCTTACAATGCTGACAGGTACAGGTAGTTGTGGGATATCTTACACTCATCACGTGATGCGACAATCCCACCGCGTTGGATCCTGAGGATCGGATTGCGTTATCCGGCGGCCGCTAATGCAGGTTCCCGAGAATGATCCCTGCCTCAATTGTGGGAATACAGCTATTGGAACCACACACCACACTAGTGCCCAATTGAGAAGATTGATGGAATACCAATTAATAAGTGGATTAATTGAGGTCCGAGGTCTAACCTCTTAAGAAGAGAAAAGAGGGGGGTAGGTATCCCTAACTCTATATATATATACTAAGGAATTAGTAGCCCCTATTATCTTATATAACTTATATTATATAATACTAGGGTACCTATATCCTTCTGTCTAAACATACCTCCCTTAGCTTAATTATATAAGGAAAGCTGAAAAAACAGATATAGTAACCGTCTATCTTAATCTAATAATTAACTATATCTATATCCTTACCTATCTAAGCCCTAGGCTCGTCCGGAATAACTAGAATAACCCCTTTAGGAGGTTCTTTATAAAGCTATTAGCTCGTTGCTTAGTAGTCCTAATCTATTCTACGGTCAATCGTCCTACTATAGTTTCCTGCCTTACCTAGTGCTAATAGATATCTATATATCTTAAAGCCGTATTAAGAGAGCTATGCTTGTAATTAGCGATATCTACTATACGTTAGTTGTTATAGAAAACCTTGGTTCTATCCTTAATAGGTTCCTTATTTCCTAGAGGAAATACCTTATTAAATTCCGAGAAAAGTCGAGTCTACTAGTATCTATTACTAGCAATTAATAAGAGTGCTAATAACTCTACCTCTACGGTTGATTTAGTAACTGTCTTCTGCTTAGTTACTTGCTAATTAATAGCACTACTATATATTATTATTAAGAATCCCTATAAACTCTTCCTATCTAGGTTGTTACTAAATAAGGTATCTATATACAGTTCTATCTTAGGCTTTTCTCTATAGAAGTGTAGCTTTATATCCTTAGTACTATAGAGGTAGGCAATTAGGTAATTGGCAGCTTCTATATAAGCTTAGCTTAGATTCTTTAGAAATTAAGAAAGAGTAGTATATACCTTTGCTATATTAGGCCTTGCTAGAACAGCTGTATAACTAATTAAACTAACCTTTATCTAATATCCTTTAATAAAGTTAGGTCTAGTAGTATTACTAGTAGGTACTAGTATAAGTCTAGTAGGAAGTAGAGTATCCGGAAATCGAGCCCTCTTATAAATACTAAATTTAATGCTAATTTTCGTTAAGTAGGCAGTCTAGCTTAGAGTTAGGATATTAGGTAATTCCTCTACCTCTGTGCCTAGGAAGAAATTAGGGTCTTTCTAAGTAACCTTAAAGTTAGAAAGTAGGTACTAGTTAAACAAGATAGCTTAATCCTCCCTGTCCCTCTTATAAATTAACCTAATATTATCTATATAGAAAACTATAAGTAGACGAAGGTCTATATTTACTATTAGGCAGTTAATTCTAGGAACTAACTTAAAGCTATAGTCTTCTATTCTTATAACAAACAGGTTATACTATAAGCAAGGTAACTTAGCTAATCTATAGAGAGCCTTCTTAAGGATAAAGCAGGCATCTAGTCTAAATCTATACTCCTCTATTCCTTCTAGGATAGAACAGTATACTATATATAGGATAGTAGTATTTAGGAAGGTATTTACTATATCCTATTGCCTAGTTTTCAGATTCCTTATAAAGGCTAGGGCAGTAATAGCCCTAAATACCTTATAACTAAGTATAGTAGTATAGGTTTTATAGGTTAATAGCAATTAAAGATCCCTACGGATATAGAGCCTAGCTTTGTACCTAAGAATCTTACTAGTTAAGGGGTCTGTTTTGTAAGCAAATACCTAGACTAATAGTACCTTATAGCCTTTATAACTAAAGAATACCCTAAATGTCCTCTTACCTATAAGCTTTCTAGCTTTATTAAATGCCGCTTATCTGAATTGCTAATAATAGATATGCCTTTCTATCTCTCTCTAATTAGTAGGGGGTAATAGTAAACTAGTCACTTAGTAAGGATCCTTAAGAGTAGGTAGAGTATAGACTTAGAGGGACGTAGCAGCTATACAACTTAACTTATCTAGGTACTCTTCTAACCGTCTAGTTCTATAGTCGATCTATCGTCTATAGTTGTCTATACTATACTAATAAGTACTCTCTTCTACCTCCCTATCTAAGGCAGGGTACTAATAAGAGACCGAAAAAGCGGAGGGTAATAAAGAAGCGGGTATACCCGGTAAGGCCCCCGGGGCCTAACTAACTTAGTTAGTAGCTATATTGTCTTTATCTCTAGCGGGTGTTTCTAGTAGTATTAGGTATAATAGTTCCTGTTCTAGTATCTTACCTCCCTACTGTTTACTACCTCCCTAAGGTTAGATAGCAAAGACCGGAATATTGTTAGCTAGAAAGGGGTTATCTATACCCTTAAAGGTTAATGATTCCTTAAATATTAAAATAGAGTTAATTACAGTCTAGTAAATAGCAGTAGGAACTAGTTCTCCTAAGGTTTGTCTATTAATATCTAGAGGATTATACCTCTTATTATTCTTAAATACTATATCTCTTGTCCTGATTACCTTATTTAGGGGTAAAGGTATCTAAATCCAGAAAATATTAGTAGAGGTATACCTAATTAGGTAACTAATATAAGCTCTCTCCTCTATCTTGTCTCTTTTAGTAATATCTCTATAGAGAGCAAAGGCCTTATAACCAATCGGGTAGAGATAGCTAAGGAAGGGCTTCTTAGTTATAACTTTCTTAAATAGAGTTATCTAATTAAGCTTAGCAGTAGGGGTCCTATTAAGAAGGTATACTACTAAATCTATAAGCTATAGCTAAAGGTTCTTAGGCAAATAGCTATTAATCCTAAGAGTCCTAGATTTAGTAACAATCTCTCTTCTAGCAACCTTACTTGCTCTATTCTAAGTAGGGGTATTAGTAGTAGTAGGCAAAGTAGTAATACCTAACCTAGAGATAGCCTTTCTAGTATCCTTCCTAATAGTAGCCTCTATATTAGAGCGAACTAGAATAGTTTTAGTATTAAATAATACTTCTATTCTTTTGAAATATCCTCTAAACTTAGCAACTGCTTATAGCTTAGTTGCTATAGGTTTATTAATATAATAGCCCTCCTAGTTATAGTACTAGTAGCTATAAAACTTAAAGACTAATCTATTTAGTCTAGGGAGAGAAGGGGGTATATTAATTAGGTCCTATAAATAGATAGCTATCTTAGTATTCTCTACCTTAGGCAGTACCTCTCTATACTTGTCCTTCCTTCTCGAAATTACTACTTTAGCCTTAGCTAGTAAGCAGGTATTATAATTGACCCTGTTTAGAGTCTCTTTCTCTAACTTAATTACCTAGTAACCCTTAGATATAGGTTCTAAGTGCTTAATAGCCCTTATAGATAGGTAGCCTAGTAACTAATACTATTAATTAGCCGTTACTATCAAAGGTAGGAGTAGTTTGTAACTAGACTATATAGTAGCAGTAGTTTAAATTACCTCTTCTATTCTAGAAGGTAACGTTAAGGTAGGTAAGATTGACTTCCCCGTATTCTTAGAGTATAGGGTATATATAGACTTTACCTCCTTAATTCTAGTACTAATTCTAGGTAAACTAGTAGTTCTAGTAATACTTCTTAGTATAGGCAACCGTTCAATAATCTAGTAACTATATCTGTTACTATATTTAGGGGTAAGGTATGCCTAGAGCCTAGGCTCCTTATGTAATTAGCTAGTAATTAACCTATCTAGCCAGTTTCTAGTATTATAGTAAATACCCTTCTTATTAAGGATCTACAGTAAGACCAAACTTATAAAGAATCCCGGAATAAGCCTTGCCTTAAGAAGAGTAAGCTTCCTAGTAACTCTATTACCTATATTAAGATTAATAGTAGTATCTACAATTGCCTTAGATTAGTATCTCTTGTCCCTAGAGATTACTATATTAGAGGAGGTTAGTAACTCGGACTTAACGATCCTTGCCCTTATAGCCTCGTTAATAATATAAACATTAGTACTACTATCTAGAATTATAGCGTTGTAAAGGCGGGTATAGTAGCTAATTAAACTAATAGATACCTTAGGGGTTAAGGTCGATTCTAGGGTAGTAGTAGCAGTAGTGTCCTCGACCTCTGCGGCTATACCTAACTTGTTCTTAGTATCTTTGTCCCTCGACCCTTAACCTTAAGCGGTATTATAAGCTTAAATTGCTTTGTCTACTCTTTCCTTTAAGCCCTTGTCTTCTTTAAATCTCTTCTTAATCTTCCTCTTAGTATTATCTCTTAGCTTCTATACCTTAGGCCTCGGATACTCGGTATTAAGGTAATAGTATTCCTTCTATATATAGTTCCTACTATAGAGGCAGGGCTTTCTTAAAGAGGAGGATAATCGAGTTAAGGACGAAGATTCGGCTATAGTAGTAGATAAGATACTAGTAATAGTAGTTCTATACTTACTCTTGAATTTAGTATTACTATTATACTAAAAGTAGGACTACTAGGGCCGCTCTTAATTCTAAATAGAGAGATATTACCTCCCTATTATTTTGCTTATTAAGCAGCCTGCCTATCCTTATAGCTATATAGTCTCTATATATTAGAGCTATAGAAGACAACTATACCTAGGTAGATTTATTGTCTACTTACTTACTAACAGTATCTCTCTTTCTATACTAAACGAACCAAAGGTATATATAGTTATAAATAGACTTTCTATATAGTAGGTAAGAAAGGGTTTCTAACTCTTTCTTTAATAACTGAGTAGTAGTAAAGGTATTAGGTTTAGTATATTCTAAGAGAATCTTAAGTATCTGCCTAATTATCTTATAATTAATTACCCTATATTAAAGGTCTATAGAGAGAGACTAGTTAATAATTAATTCAATCTTCTAATACCCCCTTTGCTTAAGTTCCTATATATCCTTATTATACCTATACTTGAATTAAGCTAGACTAAGAGCTATTAGGGTAATATTAGTAAGTAGAGACGCAAAGTCAAAGACAGGTTGTCCTTTAAGCTATATTAGGTTTTCTAGATCTGGCTTAGCTGTCTCTAGGTTAATATTAGCCTATATCTAGAGCTTTACTACCTCCCTCTTAATATAGGTAATCTATACATTCTAGTCCTACTAGGTACGTAGCTTAGCAATCGACGTCGTCGTTAATAATAAGGGTTTAGGAGAATTAGCTATAGTATCTTCGTTAAATTCGTTAAACTACTCTTAATACCTAGGATACGAGCTACTAGATATTTCTTTAACCTCTTAAAACTTAGGACTCGGGGATCGGTCGATTATAAGCTAATCTAATAGGCTCGGGCTTTCTTCTCTTCTTCTAGATAAACGGGTTTAGGTAGGTATAAAGTAATAGTATACGGTCCTCGGGTTTTTCTTAATATAGCGGATTTTAGCTAATCTTAGGTACTTAATTAGGTTAAATAGAGTAAGCCGGGCTTATAACTGTTAGAACTATATACTATACTAGTACCTAATTAAGAAGATTAATAGAATACTAATTAATAAGTAGATTAATTAAGGTCCGAGGTCTAACCTCTTAAGAAGAGAAAAGAGGGGGGTAGGTATCCCTAACTCTATATACATATACTAAGGAATCAGTGGCCCCTGTTATCTTATATAACTCATATCACATAATGCCAGGGCACCCATGTCCTTCTGTCCAAACAACAGCGAATATGGTTCGATGCAGTTTGCAATAGTGGTAATGAAGCAGCACCGCAGCCATTGGCCACTACTTTGAAGCCTACCACCACCACTACCACCACCACCACCACCACTACCACCACCACCACCACCACTACCACTACCACTACCACCGCTATGCCCTGATCACTCATTCTCTCCGCCGCCGCCTCTCGACTGCGATACACCCTCACTACCACTTGCACCACTTGCACCACCACCACCGCCGCCGTCGCCGCCGCCAATAACCCCCCTTCCCCCTTCGCCGCCACCATGGGCCTGCTCCAAGACCTCTCTGTCGCCTTCGACGCCAACTTTGGCCACACGCCCACCTGGAAACTCGTCTCCTCCGCCCTCGCCCTCTTCTTCACCCTCTCCGTCGTCCTGAACGTCTTGCGCCAACTGCTCTTCCGTGGCAGCAAGACCGAACCACCGCTCGTCTTCCACTACGTCCCCTTCATCGGCAGCACCATCTCCTACGGCATCGATCCCTACAAGTTCTTCTTCTCATGCCGCGAGAAATACGGCGATGTCTTCACCTTTATCCTCCTGGGCAAGAAGACGACGGTATGCTTGGGGACCAAGGGCAACGACTTCATTCTGAATGGAAAGCTGCGCGATGTGAATGCGGAAGAGATCTACAGTCCGCTCACCACGCCCGTTTTTGGCAAGGATGTGGTCTATGATTGTCCGAATTCGAAGCTCATGGAGCAGAAAAAGGTACATTAACAAAGTCCCGACAAGAGGTACATACATGGGGAGATTCTAATCATGTCACCAGTTTGTCAAATTCGGCCTGACTTCCTCGGCTCTGCAATCCTATGTCACCCTGATCGCCGAAGAGACGCGCCAGTTCTTCTCCAAGGACAACCCCCACAAGCGATTTGCCTCGAGCAGTGGCACGGTGAACTTGCCTCCTGCTCTTGCCGAACTGACCATCTACACTGCCAGCCGCTCGTTGCAGGGCAAGGAGGTTCGCGACAAATTCGACTCGACCTTTGCCGATCTCTACCACTACCTCGACATGGGCTTCACCCCTATCAACTTTATGCTGCCATGGGCACCGCTTCCACAGAACAGGAGACGCGATTATGCGCAGAAGAAGATGGCCGAAACGTACATGTCCATCATCAAGCAGAGACGTGAGGCCGGAGATGCCACGTCGGAGACCAGAGAAGAGGATATGATATGGAACTTGATGTGTGTCCTCTTTGGAACTATTTTTGGATTGATGGCTAATCTTTTCTTTTCTTGCTGCAGGAACTGCGAGTACAAGAACGGCGCACCCATCTCCGACCGCGAGATTGCCCACATGATGATTGCCCTTCTCATGGCAGGCCAGCACTCCTCCTCTTCCACATCTTCATGGATCCTTCTCCGCCTCGCCACCCGCCCCGACATTCAAGACGAGCTCGTCCAAGAGCAAAAGGACGTGCTCGGTGTCAATCCCGACGGCACTATCAAAGATGTCAGCTACGAAAATCTCTCCAAACTCACCCTCCTCGGCCAAGTCGTCCGAGAGACGCTCCGCATCCACGCCCCAATCCACTCCATTCTCCGCAAAGTCAAATCCCCCATGCCCGTCGAAGGCACTCCTTACGTGATTCCCACCACGCACTCTCTCCTCGCCGCCCCCGGGGCCACGAGCCGAATGGATGAACACTTTCCCGAACCCTTGTTGTGGGAACCTCACCGATGGGACGACACACCTCGGGACGAATACGCGCACTTGGTTCCCCGCATGGTGACGGAAGGCGTCGCCGAAGAAAAGGAAGACTACGGCTATGGACTCGTGAGCAAAGGCGCCGCATCACCGTATTTGCCGTTTGGTGCAGGCCGACATCGTTGCATTGGAGAGCAATTTGCATATTTACAACTGCAGACCATTACCGCCATGGTGCTGCGAGATTTCAAATTTTACAATGCTGATGGGAGTAGCAAAGTTGTCGATACGGATTATAGTAGTTTGTTTTCGAGACCGTTGAGTCCTGCCATTGTGAGATGGGAGAGGAGGGAAAAGAAGTAAGTAGGTAGGCACCTTGGCTAGTTAATAATAGTTTGTTTTTTAAACATTCATTGCATTTCACATTCTCTCTTTTCCTTTTTTTCTTTCCTTCATTTATTTACAATCCACAATTCCCCACAGCTCCCAATCCCATTTCCCTCGCCATCGCCAACCAATCCACATCTTTTTCTCCTTCTTCCTCCTCCTCTTCCTCATCTTCCTCTTCCTCCAGCTTCTCAAAAACCCTCTCCAACAACCTCCTCATCCGAAAAGTATTCTGTCCAATTCCTCCATATACTTCCAACACCCTTATCAAATTTATCGTTTGATTTTTCCAACTTTGTTTCTTTTGCTTCTTTTCATTCTCATTCGCCGCCGTCGTTGTTACTGTCGTTGTCGTTGCGGCAGCTACTCCCGCGATAAAGAGTGCAAAAACGAGATTTTGTCGATTCAGGGATCCTGCTCTTCCTCTTCCTCTTCCTCTTTCGACTGCTCCTCTTTCCTGATGATGATGATGATGATGAATTTGGCGAGTCGCAAGGGTGAGGATAGATGTAATATGGGCTTCTATTCCCGTTGTCGTCGACGCTGTTGCTGTTGCTGGTGTTGCTGCGGCTGTTGCTGGTGCAGCTGTCGGAGATATGACCGTCGTCCTCACCGATGATGATGATGATGATGATGATGATGATGATGATGGTGTTCTTCTTCTTCTTCTTTCTTTTCCTTCTCTTCCCTTTATCGATGAAGATTGCGTTTTTGTCGTTGTCGTCGTTGTTATTCCTCTCGCTCCTCCTCCTCCTCCTTCTGCCAACGACGACGAAATCACAGCAGCACTATAATAACAACAACAATACCACCTCTGCCGAGGAAACATACTGGTCCAAGAATAAATCATCATAGCATGATAGAGCAAAGTAGCGGATTCGAAAACTGCCTGGACGCGAGTCGGCAGGAAGTTGTTGTTTAAAGTAGAGGAGGAGGAGGAGGAGGCAAGATAACCCGGAAGAGCTCTCGACCAAAAATCATGCAAATCCGTTCGAGCTTGTGTGATCATTGCGATCCAGCGAAGATATTTCTCTTGTGGGATTGGGATTGACGATGATGATGGATTTTGCTTGCTGTCGTTATCGTTGTGAATGTAATTGCGATTGTTAATACTGCAAGTGTCAACCACAGCAGAATATTCGCCTCGAAGCATCTGAGCAATTTGAGCGATTCGTGCAGCTCGAAGAACAATGCCTTCATGTAGCCGAAGAATAGCAGGAAAGGTGGAAATTTCATGAGGAGGTAAACCTGCTCCTCCCGGGGTGTCATAAGAAGGCACCTGATGCTCCAAAGCCGGAAGCATATGATTCCGCACAATTGTTTGCACAAACTCACACGTTCCACTGCCCATCAAGCAGGCATACACGTCGAGTTGGCAGATGGACCAGATAGTGTAAGCATGAGGTTCGCGGCCGCCAAAATGGTGATGTCTATGGACGGCAATGCGTCGGAGGTGATCGAGATGTTCTGCGGACATGTCTGTGCCAGCGTCGTCGGATTGGACGGGGATGCAAATGTCATATACGAAGAGGAGATAGTGTCGGAAGAAGACTCCGTCAGAAAGTAAGTCGTTGTTGATGTTGCTGGTGGTGGTGGTGGTGGTGGTGGAGGAAACCGCGAGAGCTTGATGATAATGCTGCATGGCTTCTGCCAAGGAAGATTGGCCGTTGTATGCCAGATGGAGTGCACTGATGGCACATATTGCATGATGTAAAGGGGGGAAGCGTAAAGCTTCACGTTCTAAAACATCTCTGGTCGAGCCTTGAGAAATGATTCCATCTGCCTGCGGCTGGACAAGCCGTGGAACGATGTAGTTTCGAAAATGTTGGAGCAGATGATGGTCTTGTGACACAGTAGGATTGATGGGTGCTATGATTACACTGGGAATGTATGGTGGCGGCGGCGGTGGCGAGGTGATGGAAAGCCGCTGCATGTGCTCGCCAAAGTCTTCACTACGGCCGCCTCCAGAGGATGAGGTCGAGGCTACTTTTACAGGCGAGACATCCTCGAACTTGTCCAGTATGACAGTATTGGTATCGATGGGGAGCGCAACAGATCGGCCGATTTCAGACCCAGGGCGGCCAGATCCCCCTTGTCGACTCCTGAACGACGAAGAATGGCCCACAGTCGCATATTCCGGCAAATCACGAAAGCTGTCCGGCGTGACCACGACGCCAAACGTGCCTGGCTTATGTACCACAGCCTTTCTCTCTCGGTCCTCGTCCGAAGTGAGCACTGAAAAGTCGGGTAAGTGGTCTGAAAGGGGGAGGGGGCTTCTGTTCCTCTCCTGTGCGGCCTTGGGGTCCCACACCACATTGCCCTCTTTCTTCACCACATTCTGGAATCTGACCTGGACGGTCGGAGTAGCATCGCTGAAGTTCCATCGATGATGCCAGTCGCATTCTCTGTTGAGTCTTGTGCAGGGTCCACATCGGGGGCCTGTGAATGTAGACATACAGTCAGCGGAACGGAGCAGCAGCAGCAGCAGCGACAACACTACATAGAGTGAAAACTTACGAGTTTCGTCACATTTCACCTATCGGAATTGGTGAGCACAAAAAAGTCAGCGAATATTGTGAAAGTCACACCACTGAGATATCTGCCTACCTTTCTGCCACGACACGTCCAACAACCAGCTCGAGAGCGATGTGACAGACGAGTGGCCCTGCTGGAACCCGCCGAGGTGGAAGATGAAGTTGAAGTTGCGGTTAAGCCAGATGGACGAAAGTGCATAGAAGAAGAAGAATCGAGCTTGTCCGTCCGCGGAGCCAGAGGTTGTAGGTGATGACTGGTGCGTGTCTTCTGCTGCGAAGAAGCCCAACCGCCGCGCCCTCCGTGTTCTTGCATGATGATGATCTTTCCTTTCCCGTCCGTCGTAAGAATGAAAGGAGGTCAAAGTGACCGACGGCAAGAAAAAAAGGTGGTCTATCTTCTTCGTCTTGCGCGGACGAAATTCTGTTGATCGTTCCTCGAAGAAGAGTAAAGTGAATAATAAAGAGTGCAGAATCAATCGATGAACCAATCTCTCTCTCTTCATGAGATGAAACCGTTCTTCTTCTCCCTTCTTCTTTATTTCCTCCACTCTTCACAGCAAGTAGTACTAGTACTATTAATACCTCCCCAACATCGACCCTGCCATGATATGTATGTACGTAAGTATATATATCCGTATTCACGAAGAATGAATCTCTCCACTGTACTGCACTGTCCTGCTGTTGCAGCTAGCGCTCCTTCTCTTCTGTTGAGATATATATGTATATCAACTCAAGAAAAAGAAACATGTCACTCGCACTTGATATATTGTAGAAGAAGAATCAGGTAGGAGGCATCACAAAGCACCATCCACCCACCTACCCACCCACCACACCCGAAGCGTCACTCAGTTGAATCAGTCCATCAGTTCAGAAAAAGAGAGAGAGAGAGAGGTAACAATCGGACCCAGTCCGTCATCCTCGTCGTTCCTCATCGGCGTCAACATCGGCCGTCCTCATCGGCGTCGGCGTCCAGAGCGCAAAACAGGGTGGTTTCCTCAGGACTGCCAACTTTCTCCTCCTCCGAGAAGTGAAGTGAATTGTCTGGCGTGTGGCTTGGCTTTGGCTTGGCTGAGAAGTCCGAGGTGAAACGACCAGCACCACCACCGCCAACCATGCAGACGGAGGGATGGGAAGGACCAGTGGCTGCCACGTTGTGCTGATCGTTTCTGTTGAACCCGAGTAGAGTCGAGTGGGCGATGCCGATCGATCGATGATGATGATGACGATGATGATCCATCCGGGCATATGGCCGGTCGCTGGCGCAAGGTACGTAGTTAGTGGTTAGTGGTTAGTGGTTAGTGGTTATTGGCAAAGAGGCTGGCTTTTCTGCTTGTTAGTCGTAAGTAATCTACCTACAGCTGTCGTGTAAGTAGTACTTGGGGTAGCCACTCCAAAGAGGCGTAGAGGTGTGGCTCAATCCCGGCGAGGGCTTTGTCTGGATTGTCTCAGCCCCCCTTATAGTCTGCCCCCGGGAGCAGGTTGTCTCAGTCTCGAAGCAGTTCCTCCTCCAGTGCACGAATGGCTGCAGCGAGGCGCAAATCTAGCCTCTGCCACCAACCAAGCACCCATCAACCACCAACCACCACCCACGTGTGAGCCACGCGAGCAGTCGTACAGAGTACAGAAGAAACAAAAAGTATCCTGTACCTCCCTATCACGGCCTCTGCACCGCAGAATCTAGAATCTGGCGGACCTCCACTGAAACTTCATCCGCCATCAAAGCACCAACATCCCCCTCCATTTCTTGCTTCAGATTCGGTACGCAGGTCACGGATGCGAGAACCGCCTGCGCCCTCATCACCCGAATGCTTTCGATCGACACCGGTGCGCCAAATAGGAGGGTCTTGACGTCTGCAATGGCTGCCCGATCCAGCGACACTGTTCGCTCATGTCTCCGTATCCGATCGAACATGTTCTGGAGGCCTGCAAAGGTGCTCCGTAGGCTACGTGCCGTCGTCGCCGTTTTTGCTGCAGCCACCTCGTGTAGGGCACGAGAGACCATGCCAGTGAGTGCGACGTTGTCCAGCGCCTGAGGGTTGATACAGGCGAACATGGCTTCGATGGCTGCTGCAGCAGTTGTTTCTTTGCTGCATCGTGTGTCAACGATAATGAACAAATGAATGAATGTTACGAGGGGTGGCGTTGCCTGCACTTACATCTCATCGGCCTTGCGCCTATCAGCCGTACCATCAATTTCCATGGCATCCTCGTCCGGACCCTCGCTCAGCACCGGCGCAGCAGCGGCCAACACCGCGTCGCTGATGTCCACGTCAGTCCGAGCCAACGCAATACGGGCGAGGGCCGACATCGAGTGTGGACGATACGCTGCGTTCTGCCGCTTGGCTTCCCGAATCGCAATCTACAGTACTCATGTCAGTCAGTGATACCACAGTCATTGATGCATAACGTACCTTCACAATGGCAACGCGCACGGGCTCCTGCGCAGTGTAGTATAACTGGGCAGACTCCACGAACTGGGCGAATGCCATCACCACCACCTCCTTGCCGTCCCACGTTTTCATCGACAAAGCCTTCTCGATGGCGGGCCACAGCACTCCGCCCGTGGCTGCGGAAAGCGGAGACTCGCCCGTGCACGCAGCCTTGGTTGCTTCAGCTACAGTGCGCGCTACGGTATGCTTCACGGCCCATTGCGGCGAGTCCAGGTAAGTCATACACAATTCCAGAATTTCCTTGAGATACAACTGCGCTGCTCGCGATCCGCCTGCCCCCGCCGCCTCCTCCCACGTGTCCTTGAAGTATTCCTGGACCTGCTCGTGGGAGTCGTGTTTACCAACATACACGAATGGCAAAGCGGCAGTGGCAAAGGCGTTGAACCGATCCCCAGCGTTCTTTGCAAATGCCAACATGAGCTCACCCGCAGCGATGCTTCGACGGGGGCTCACGGACTCGCGGTCGCCTTCAGATTCGAAGTACAGCTTCTTCGCAAAGTCGATGTAGCGGAACGTCTGCTTCTCGGATGCGCAGCGCACCACATAGCCCGCGGCAGCTGCGTACGAGCTGGTCACGGTGTCGTTACGATCGATCACGAGCCGCTCGAGCAGCTTCAACGTCGCGTCTGCAAAGGGTTGGAACAGCAACCGACGACGCGTGGCGAGAGAGACCAGGACCCGACTCGCGCCCACCTTGGAAGGCAGGCCCACAGCGCTCTTCATGGCACTCTCCAGTCGGGGCTGCAGCTGCTTCATGATGTCTTCGTCCAGCAGATCTAGACAGCGCTCGATGGCTTCCATTAAAGGACTCGTGCGGACGTGTCCCAGTCGCATATCATCAAGTTTCTGCTGGGTCAGATCGTACTGTGCTGCGTTGAGATGAACATAGTTCACGGCTTCCGGTTCCACCGCGCTCAGCAAGCCGATTAATCTCTCCACAAGCTCAGGAATAAAGGGTCTTAAGGTCGCCCCACTGGCCTTCTTAATGATCTCGAGCAAAGTGAGGACGGAGAAGCGCTGTGTTTCCGAGGCAGTCGACTCTACACCCGAAGGTGAGAGCAAGAACGGCAAGACATGTTTGAGCATGGCAGACGCCTTTTTGGTGGAACCGTGATCAGCCTCGAGAGCTTTTGACACCACCCCCGTGAGTGTCCTCGCCAGAAACGCCGCCGCCACCCGAACAGATTCCTTGATATCGTCGAGCACCCGGAAACATTGCGCCCAGATCTGCTCGAGATATTTCTCGTACTTTTCGAGAGATCTGCCTTGGACCAGGTCAGCGATAGCCGCACAGCACGCTTGCCGCACGCGCCACTCTCTTCCCAGGATACTCTCCAGAAGATCTTTCATGATGGCATCAAAGTGCTTGTCAATCGTTGCGGCAGAGTCCGGAACCAAAGCGGTCCAGATCTCATTCATGGAGCGCTGCACGCCGCCGTTGGGATCGAATCGATACCTGAACAGCTTCGGATATAGCTTGGGGTTGTTTGAAAGATATCCGTCGACGCTGGAATCGGATAGGACTTTGCTCAGTCCGAAACGTCCAAATGCAGCTCTGCTCGACCAGATCGCATTCGACGATGCCATCGACATGAACTGGTACACCAGGCTGGAGTCGCCCACTTCCGACGCGAGACTCATGATGTCCTGGTAAGTGGACACGGAACCGTCCCCTGTAGGCAGCATTCCTGGCTCAAAAAGCTGTGTATCCGCTGAAACACTGCCCGCAAGTGCCTGCCGATCCGAGGAGAAGGACGACACCAATTCTCGAACCAAGTCATCCTTGAGTGCTCGATCCCCCTTCTCATACACTAGTCCCAGCCCTCGAGAAGCGCTCTCCTGGACGAGCTCATCGCGGTCAGCAAGACACCTTCGAAATGCAGCTTGGCACTTGGACAGCCGGTTCTGTAGTTGCTCGCCACAGAACTGTACCAAGCAGAGCAGCCACATCACGGCAGCCTTCTTCAACGCTGGCTTCGTATTTGCGCAATCCGCGAGCACCTTGTCGACCAGCTTGCCGAGTGTGTTTCCCCGGGGCTCTCCTAACTCGGGCGCTGGAGTCACCTCGATGTCGACTTTGGTGGCGAGAGCACTCGATTGCCATCCGCTCGCCACGTATGAGAGAGCCTCGCCTACTGTGAAGTGTATTTCGGCTTGTCGCACTTCGTGGAGTTTGTGCAGATTCTCGAGAATGTGCTGGAGCTCCTCACTGTCCTCCGGTATCACCATGGACAGCTGACCGAGACAGAGTATCGCAGGCTCGTTGCTGTCCTTTGCCTTTTGATAGAGCTTATCAGACACTTTGCGTAGTGACGAATGCTGCTCGATGAGGTCGGGAGTGAGACATCCAAATATGCACAACTGTCCTATGGCAACAAAGGTAGCTTCCTGGAGCAATACGTCCTGGGCATCCGTGAATATGCCAAAGAGAGTCTGGAGGAACTGTTCGTAGTCCTCTGAATTAACCACTGATTCGCCGCGGTAGGTCAATCTGCTATAGTAGAAAGCGAGCGCTACAAGAGCGCCATGTACAGAGCTTACACTGCTGCCTACTGCTGATTTCCACGACCCGGCAGTCTCGAGAAGCTCTTGAATAGCAAATGCTGGCGCTGACTTCTCGTGGGAAGCCAATATGCCAAAACCCTGCGCTGCTGCCATGCGGCGATGGGGGTTGTTCGATTTGAGAACTGGCAAAAGAGCGGTTCCTCGCTCCACATGCTTCGCAATGAGCGCATCTGGACTGAGTGCCAGGAATTCGACGAGGCGATCCTGTTCATCCGAAGCGACCTTGAGCGTGATGCATTCGAACAAAGCACAGAGGAGTGTATCGACTGACTTTGCAGAGTATGCAGTGAGCCTCGATATATAGGCCTTGGTAGCCTGTCTTGCGGGAAGATCGGACTCGGTCATGGCATCCAGCCGCCGCTCCCACTCGCTATCGAGCTTGAGCGATACATTTGCTCGCTTTAATGCTTCTTGGACGAGGACACGACGCGCGAAAGCGGTCATAGATGCGAAGGAAGACTCGTGCAGTTCTCTCGCTCTTCGTGTAATAATCCTCGAATCGTCGCTGGTGACTTTGGTCTGAGCCACGAAGAATTCTTCCACTACCGCCTCAAATGTCGGAAATGTAATCTCTACGCCGTCGGCGTTGTCGCTCGTCCCATTGAGCATTCGGTACCAATGTGGACTCAGACCGCGTTGCCCTTCTTCGCGGACTTCTGCCCTATCCGAGACAGCTCCCGCAGCAAGCACGTTGACCCAACGCGCTTTGACAGAAGAGTACGGTAAGCATCGATTGGCGTACCTCACAGCCACATAGCGTGTGCTGCGAAGCCGCGAGTTGCTTTCCAGGTCGTCGGACAAGACCGTCTGTTCGATGAGAAGCTCTTGCAAGACCTGTTGTTCGTGCAGCTCCAAGGTAAAGCGATCCATCCCGCCGAGGATTGTCGATAATGACTCTTCGATGCTGACCGTGATCGAGTTACCCGATGTGTCCCGGGCGAGAGACTCGAACAGCCATCTCAACACGTCCAATGAGACATGGTCGCTTTCCACCAACAGGCTCTTCGGTCCTGCTTTGGCCAACAGTCCAATCACCTCGTACGCGTACGCCCGTGAGGTCAAATCCTCGCTCGGCCCAATCTTCGGCCAGCCCTGATGCTCCACAAAGTCTCGCAATTTCGTAACCACCCGCGTGGCAATAGTTTGCACCGTATCCCTGTCGCCAAGGCGAGCAACAAAGTTAATGTATGTGAAGATAGCTGCTCGGAGCTTGAGCGTCTCCCTGCTAATGTTGGAGTTCTGCACGGGACCATTCGACATCACCGTGTCCTCGCCATCGGGAGTGGTAGAGAGACCATCCTCGACCAATCTGATGATTCTGTTGTCAAAAGTGGTGCTTCTCGTGGACTTGGCGAACAAATTGAGAATCTTGATGCGGAGCGGTGGTCTGACTCGAGGCGCTGTGCCTTTGCCGAAGTACAAGTCGTAGAGGTGATTGATCAAAGTCTCGTCCTCCAAATCCGTGACAGGTAAGGCCCTTTTGAGGATGTCATCGCCGACATCACTGATTGGTGACGCGGGATCAGCCGAAGCGTACAGCGCAGGTAGAAAGCGATCCTGATCAGTAAATATCCCACTGGCGAGAAGCTTTGCACCAAGGGTCTTTGTTTGTAGTAGATTTAAGCCTCCCGCAGCAGGGTTCCATTCGTCCTTTCCATTCATGCTCAAGAAGGCATAGTCTTCGCTTGTCAACCCCGGGCAAGTGACTGATGCGTTTCCCGACGGCTTTTGAGGCGTAAACAGGATCAGCTTACCCAGGTATGAAGCGAGATATGTAGCATCTTCATCAGAAACGGAAAGGTCCGTCCGTAGTTCCAGATCCTTTTTGGATCCGCGTGGTGGGATCACAATCGACGGCAATATCCGTAGCAGGAGATAGAAGATCTGAGATCCATGCTGACCCGTCTGCGCAATTCCACTGACTACGACGGGCAGGAGATCAGCTTTCTCGGCGTTGGACAACCGGACCACGCCCTGCTGGATATAGAGGAGATCAAAGTGGCGAATGAGAGGGCTTTCTTGCTGCTGGAATTGCTTGACGAGTGCCGCAACGGGAAGTTGTATCGACTTGGGTTGCACACGCGTATTGACATGCTGACAGATGGAGATGACCTTTCTGCGGACGCTTTCATGGGGGGAGCCCAGTTTGAGTAGCACTGGCGCCAGGTAGGTCTTCAGAATCGCCTCGAGCTTGGCGTCTGTGTCGGTCAAGGCGATCTTCAGCTCGACCTTGCCGACCAGTGACAACTCCCGTTGCTCGTCCGGTGAGGATTCCATGATTGCAGCGAGTGAGGGAGCACCGGCCCGATCGTGCTCGTGGAGCAAGTGAATAACACAGTCTTATGCGAAGAAGGCGAGTACGAGTATCATGGCGAGTTGGCACGTGTGAGAATGTGCAGCGAAGATTCCTCTTGATGCTGACGGCGACAGTGATGCCGCGAAGTGAAGAACGAAACTTGTTGATGGAGAGTCCTGGAATTGCCACAAACAAGATAAGATGTAGTAGTAGGAGCGTCGTAGCCCATGGTAAGGTAGCCTCCAACTGCTGACTAAGTGGGATGAGCGCCAAGATATTCAGTGGACTTCATCGAACGTCAACTGAAGGAGGTAGAACGCGGTAGTACCAAGACTACAATTGAAAGCACGGCAGTGGAACATACTTGAGCAGGAAGATTAATATTATCCTTCACTGACCGACCTCTCATAAAAACGGTAATGTAAATGCATTTCAGTCAATCCTCATTCAAGTCATAGCGCATGCAAACAACAACAATCCCCCTCCGCTTGGGCCCTCCCACCACAGCCTCTCCCAGATGGATCTACCTCCTAATTTAACCTTCCTCACCAGGCACAGCGTCCTCCGCTTCGACTCGACACAAGACCTCCTCCAAGAACCCTTCCAATAAACCATCAACACCATCTCCCATGCCCACTGGCGCCACGCTGTCCCAATGATCGATTTCCCGGAAGAGCCGCGAAACCTTGCTCAAGCACTTCCGTATCTGCTCATGCGTCTGGCGTTTGAGGTGCAAGTCCTCCGCGGATAGCACCGACGCGCCGCCAGTCTGAGACCGGCTGGCCTGAGAGGCATTATGTCGTCGCTGCAATAGTGAGAGTTGATATGAACGACGATGGAGGGCGGCTTCGAGAGCCGGCATCACCACAGAATTGAGCGCCGTCACCTGTTGATCCTGCTGCGAGTATGAAGAGGCCGCTGGTTGCGATTGGTTTGTCGAGTGGTTTGTCGTCGAAGTTTGATATGCGGAGTCGACAGACGATCGACGCGAATCCTGACTCTGCTCCAACGGCCTCGTTTCTGACTTGACAACTCCAGGAGGTGCAAAGTCTGGCAGAGGCTTCTGGTATAGCTGGTTGTTGACTGAAGTCGCAGAAGCAGCCACAGAGCGTTGCGCGTGTTCTTGCGAAGCAGCGACACCGTCGAGCCCGAGTGGTACTGACGCTGCCTGTTGCGTTGGGGGCACTGCTTTGGGCTCTTCCTTGATCGCAAGGCCTTTCATGTACTGTGACATGTCACTCGCGATGCTCTGCTGCAGGTAGTCATCGTTCAGCAGTCGAGGAGTAGCAGGCGTGACAGGAGGAGGTAAGGGCGATGGAGGCACAGACTCGCGCCGAGGCGTCTGTGGAGGAGTCTGTTGTACTGCAATCGGTTTTCTGGTCGGTGATGCGGGCAAGGGAACTTGGGCAGCAGGCCCTGGTGATGGTAGGGGCGGCGCATATCGCTTCGTTGGTGAAGGCGTTTTGGGCAGTGGAGGAGGAAGCATGGCGCCCCGCATGGTCTGGCCTGTCCCTGGGGTCTCTGTAAGCTCGGCATCGATATTCTCCTTGTTCGAAACGGTCCTTCTGGTAGGCGAATGAGGCGCATGAGACCTCCTCGAATTCATGCCGGACTCATTCATGGGCCGCAGACCCGGACCTGCATGGCCACGTCGACCAGCCGGACGCACTGTACCAAAGTCCCACAAATCTTCGTCCTCTGCATTCTGCGATGGTGAGTCGTCCGTGGAATTGGCCTCATAGCTCTCTTCTTCGTCTTGGTGAGTAGCCTGCCACCGCTCATGCCGTTCGATCAGCTCCGTCAAGTATGCAGTGCGCTTTGCTTTTCGTATCCAAGGATGCTTCAGAAGCTCACGCGCCGTAGGCCTCTCCCGTGGCTCTTTTCGCAGACACCTCCACACAAAGTCTTTGAACTCTCTGCTAAAATTGCCCTCCAACATGGGTGCTGGATTCTTCGGTATCAGGAACAATACTTTCATGGGATGAATATCACTGTAGGGTGGCTCTCCCAATGCGAGCTCCAACGCGGTGATGCCCAAAGACCAGATGTCTGCCTTGTGATCGTAGCCTGATTGCTTAATCACTTCCGGAGCCATCCAGAAGGGAGTGCCCACAAACGTATTCTTCTTCGTCATCGTCGCCGTCAATTGTCCCGACACGCCAAAGTCGGCCAGCTTGACTTGGCCGTTGGCACCCAGCAGGATATTGGCTGCCTTGATATCACGATGTAACTTCCCGTCGTTGTGCAAGTACTCCAAGCCCAGCAACAGTTCTCTGATGATGATGCAAATGTAGTCTTCAGGCAGAACGCCTGGTTTCAGCATGTCGCCACAGCTGCCTCCGGAGCAGAATTCCATGATGATCCACAGGTCAGAGCCTTTGAGATATGAGCCATAGTACTTGGTGACATATGGCGAGTTGAGGCCGGACAGGATGGAGATTTCCTGAATGATATCGTCGACCTCGTCGTCGGCATTCTCAACATCGATAATCTTGATAGCCACCGACTGTCCGGAGCGCTTGTCGACGCCCTTGTAGACCTTTCCAAAACTGCCGCCGCCGATGCACGTCTGCTTGGTATACAACGTCTCGGGATCCACGTGCTGAGTGGTCGTTGTCGCCGTTGTCGCCGCCGTTGATGCGGCCATTTCTCTCGCGTGGGACTCGTGGTCGCGTTAATCCAATGCTGCCTGATAGCGTGTGAGGATGAGGAGGTGGAGGTGGAGGTGGAGGCGGAGGCGGAGGCGGAGGCGGAGGCGGAGGCGGATGAGCTCGTCGTCGTGGTCGTCGTTGTCGTCGTGCCTGTGTGGGCCGGTCGGATCTCTCCAGGCCGAGCGGGGATTGCAATGATGGATCGAGGAAGAGCGTCCGGTGGTAGTGTGTACTGCTGCTCTGTTCTGTCTGTCACTTGGCGCGGGCGCAATGAACCAGCATTGGCGAAAGAAGAAATGGAGAGACGCAAGGAGAAGGGTGGAAGTTGAAGATGTACATGTAGTAGACTACCACATACACACACACACACCGCATGTGCAGGTGCGTGCGGGAGAGTGCGCCGGGCGGAGTAGCGAGGCGCAATCGGCTCCCGTCACGAATTGGATGTTCGTGTCGTTGTCAAGCGCCGGGATGTTGCTGTTGCTGTGTTGTGTTGATACCACAACAACAACAACAGCGGTGGCCCGACAGCCAATCATCGCCCTCGCGCATCTCCACTCGGGAACTGGTGGCTGTACCTGCGTCGGCGCCTCTATTTCAGGCTTCCAGGCATCAGCCATCTGAAACATTCTCGACTTCAATCTTCACCTACCTACTTACAGTAAGGACTGTAAGGTACTTTACGGTAGTCACTATGCGAGTTATTCACTTGGCATCTGCCTTCACTTCACTCGCATCATCGGGTAGTGCCGCACTGTCATCATATACATTGCTGCGCCCAGACGTCGTCCGTCTCCACCAATCACTAGTCGAGATCGAATCCATCTCCGGCCATGAACAAGCCGTGGGAGACTGGCTATACCACAGCCTGATCCAGCAAGGCTATCACGCCGAGAAGCAATATGTCTCCAGAGATCCCGAACGCTTCAATGTCTACGCTTGGCCGGGAGAGAATCGAGACCCGCCCGTGATGTTGACCAGTCACATCGATACTGTATGACTACTTCCCTCCCGACCAAGTCTCATCTGCAATGGTATATACACACACTCACACATCACACCCCCTCAGGTTCCACCTTTCCTCCCATATAAATATACCAAAGATGAAGACCATCCAGGCAACTCCACCATCTTCGGCCGCGGCTCCGTAGACGCCAAAGGCAGCGTGGCGACCCAAATCATCGCCATCAACGAACTCATCGCCTCCTCTGCCATCTCGCCCGACGACGTCTCCCTCCTCTACGTCGTCGGCGAAGAAATCGGAGGAGGCGGAATGCGCGCCGCCAACAACCTCTCCCTCTCACACACCCAAACCATCATCTTCGGCGAACCCACCGCCCTCCACCTCGTCTCGGGCCACAAAGGAACCATGCAAGCCATCATCCGCGCCAAAGGCAAAGCAGGCCACAGCGGCTACCCCTGGCTCGGACGATCCGCCAACGAAGTCCTCGTATCCAGTCTGGCGGCCATTATGCACTTGGGAGACCGACTCCCCACAAGTGCGAAATACGGTTCGACGACCTTCAATCTCGGCGTGCTCCAAGGCGGCGTCGCAGCAAATGTCATAGCACAAAACGCCACCGCCACCATCGCCGTGCGCATCGCCCACGGCACAACTTCCATGATCCAACACGCCATGACCCAAGCCATCCACGAAGCCGTGCAACCCTTTCTCTCCGGAAATGGTGATGATGATGATAACCATTTAACACCCCAAGATATCGTCGAACTCGACTTCACAGGCGCCGGATATGGCCCCGTAGACATTGACCACGATGTCCCCGGCTTCGACGTCATCACCGTGAATTACGGAACCGATATTCCTTGGTTGGAGAAAGTTGTTTCGGACCAGAAACGCTACTTGTATGGTCCGGGGACGATTTTTGTGGCGCATGGCGATCAGGAGGAGTTGAGGGAGAAGGATCTGTGGGAGGCTGTGGAGGGATATCAGAAGATTGTGTTGTTTGCACTTGGAAAGGAGGGGGAGGGGGAGGGAGAGAGGGAGAGTGGTGAGGAAAAGGAGGATTTGTGAATAGAATAGAAAAGAATCGGGATGCAGAGTTACCTTAACGTGATCTGACCGGATAATATAAATCAAAAATCACAGTGTAAGCACTTGCTTCTTCATTGTCTTCATTTCATTTCACTTTCATCAATGCCATGCATGCATGCATGCATACCTACCTATAATCCTCTCTCCCTCCCCTCCCCTCGTAAAAAGCTCAAATCAAACATCCCCCTCAACAACAACGGCCCCAAAATCCTTCTTGACGCGCAAATCCGTCCAACCATCGACATTTTCAATCATCAAACCCTTTTCATTGGCCAAATGCAAGAGACAAATGAATCCATACGACGTGCTAATGTCGGACATTTGCTGCTTGGGGTAGACGTGTTGGAGATTATTCATAATGTCCGTGAAGAGCAGCGTCGAAGTGTCGTCGGTGGAAAGGGCGGGGATGGTGGTGGGGGGTCGTTTCGAGGCGGGCGTGTGAGGAGGTGGTGTCATATCTCTGCTGTGAGAAAGGAAAAGAGTCAGTGTGCAACTCTCTCTCTCTCTGTGTGTGATATAGATAGATGGGAAAGGAGAAAAAAGAAAAGGAAAAGGAAAAGGAAAAACTGACCTCTGTTCAAATCCAATACCACGCCACATCTCTTCCTTCAACCGCCGGACATCGACCTTTTTCGCCACTCGCGCGTATTGCACGTATTCGGGCCGTAATCGTCGCGATTGTGCTACGAGATTGGCACCAAAGTCACCTGCTCCCGCTCCTCCTCCGGTGGGCCCGGCCACACTGTCGATGCCCGCTCCCATCGGTCCTTCGACATCGTCTGCGCCCGGAGAGAATTGTTCGCGAGCATCGGCAAAGTCATCGTCATCGTCGTCCATGGCACCACCGCCCGCCATGGGGAGTCCATCGTCGTGGAAGAAGTTTGCATCGTAGTCCCCCTCGACGGCGTCGTCCACGTCCATGGGATGAGGTGGTACTGCTGCGTCGTCTCCGCCATGCGTCGCCCAGTATGCCTCATCGACTTCGCCATGGAGTGGTATCGGCTTGCTCGACGGACCCGATCTGCGAGCACCAATCTTCGCTTTTGGCTTCAGGAAGAGCTTCAGGAGGTCCTTGGAGTTGAAGTGCTTGTCGTCGGGAAGCAGATTTCGGTTCTTACTCTTCCACTCTTTCTTCGGTAGACATATGCTCGCATTGGTGGACGCATTCGTGTATAGCAAGTTGGCCATTTCTTGCGACATGGGTGCCGCAAAATCAATCTCAAAAGGCTCCTTCTCTTTCCGCGTCCTTGTAGGCTTGACGACATTGGCTTCTTTGATGCGTGCAATCTTCCAGTGCTCTGGTCCCGCCCAGTTCTTCTGCAGTGCGTTGTCAAAGTAGTTCAAGATGTTCTCTTGATCGTGGGGTCGATGTTGCAGCGTGACACCATATGCGTTGCTGTCGTTGTCGAATACGCCCACCTCACCTGCTGCGTCCTCGCCTGCTTCCGCGCCCGCTGAAGCATCGTATACCCGCATTTGAGGATGTAAAGCAGCATCGCGCGCCCACGCCTCTCCTCCCTCACCAAAGCCAACATCTGCGGCCATGTCGAAACCCAACGGTTCTGCATCGTCATCGTGGCCAAATGCTGCAGTTTGATCGTCCAAATTGATGCCACTCCGATCGAGCTGTTCTGTGTCGGCATCAGTCTGCTCGTCCCGCCAATTTTCGGGCGCCTTGAGGAATGGCAAATCCAGCGATCCGTCTCCGCCACCAAGCTCAAACGTCTTTAACGATGGGCATATGTCTTGGCCGTCTAGTATATCCAAATCGGGAAAAAATCGCGCTCCCAGTCCAGCAACATCGACAATCCCGTCCTCCTGCATAGGCTCGATCTCCTCCTCCTCTGTTACCGTCTTATTCTGCTGCTCTTCTCCCTCCGGCTCCATGCTGTCTCGCCTTGTCGTATCCTCGACGTCTGCATCTTGTGCGTCGTCACTGCTGTCGAATACAATTCGTCCCGTGCTGTCAATCGACAAGTGGTTCATGAGAAGTCCCTTGGCACCACCCTCATCGAAATCTGCTGCTGCCTTCTTGAATAGTGGATCAACAGAGAATTCCAGCTCCATCTTCTTCAGCTTCAGCGTCTCGAATGATGTGGCCAGTGTGGCTTCTGCTGATCGCTGCGCCTTCTTTCTGCCCTTCTTTTTCGTGCCATCCTCGTTCTCCTCGTCTTCGTCGTCGCCCTCCTCTCCGCCGCCCTCTTCTGTGTCGCCACCTTTTCGTTTCTTGTTTCCACTGTCTGCCAACCCACTCAACAGCTTTCCCGTCTCCGTTGCGACGCTGTCCACTCTGCTGGTGTAGATTTTGACACATCCGTCTAATGTGCAGCTCGCCTTCTGAAAGTTGACGCCGTTGCCCTCCTTGAGCAGACTCATGTCGTGGAAGTAGTCGATGAGCGCAAAGTCCCACGAATTGTTCGCATTGATCTTATTATCCGTCGCCATCTTCATCCATGTCTCGAAGTTGGCGAGTATGGGCACACGCTTCATAGGCGTCACATGGTCTCCTCGCACTCCATATGGATCATCGTCGTCTTGAGACGGCGTCGCTGGCCCACCATCGCCCAAGCCGCCTAGAGACTTTCGTTTTCGTTGCGGTGTCGCTGCCGCAGCCTTGATGGACGACATCTGGCGCGAGTGGGCTGCTTTCCGGTTCTGGAGACGCTGCGCCTTTTCCTCGTCGTCGTCGTTGAGCGGAATCTGGATCGACTTTACGGGCGATTGCGCATAATTGCCCGAAGCGCCGCCAGTCGCGCGCACACGAGGCATGTTGAGCGGAGAGGATCGAGGGAGGGAGGGAGGAAGTTCGTTACAGAAGTCAGCAGGATGTCGGCGGCGCGCTTCGGCTCAATTGTGCATCACTCCTACTATCGTTGCCACGCGCATACAGTAGTGCCAATGCAGGCAGGGGTGGTGACACTGTTTGTGCGTGCATGCGATTGATTGTTTATGCCACAGTAAACAACGGCTTGTTCCGAAACCTTGCCGTGACGCGCATCACGTTCGTGTCGTTCACCCCTCTCACTTCAATTTCTGTCACGGAAGCCGTCATACTGTACACGCAGCTCTCAGCACAGTACAGTCAGCCGCGCTAGTGGGAACACCGTATATAAGCACATCCATCTTCCAAACCAACGACCTTTTCTTCTTCATACTGTGAGTCCACCCTCCACCCTCCCCCTACACTTTCCATCACCATCCATCATCAATGCAGTACTAACATCATCTCCTAGTACCTTCTTGGGGTTTCTGGCGCTCACGAATGCTAGAACCATTCAGAAGTGGCTGCATTGCACAGCGCGGACCGCAACTGAATCCTGTCTCCTTCGGGGGCCAGGTCGGGGGAATTTTTGCTGGCCCACACTTTTCGCTGTCGCTTGCGACTCTGAAAAGACACTCTTTCATCATGTCGTTGGCCTTGTTCATCAAGGCTGGCGTTTGGAGAAGGATCCTCTTGACAGCTGTGCCGTTCGAGGTATTGGCGAGACCGTCAGCACCTCTACGTCGCGTTGTACGCGTCTTGCACTCGGCGGCAGCGCGATGCGTCAAGCCTTAGCTTGCCAGTCGACGAGGGAAGGTGGACACGTCTGCGGTAAAGCAAGAACAGCCAGCAACACGCGACTGAAGGGCATTCCATTCCCCGAGCTCGCCCCCAGAGTACTACCTAGTACCTTCAGGTACCTACGTAGGTACGGTAGGTAGGTACAGATTGTAAGGTCACCTCAGGTACTGAGGTAGTAATACCACCTCACAACACCGCCATGAATACTGTACTTTACACTACTCCTGCCAATACTCGAACACAGTGCAGGACGAAGACACCTCTATTAGTACCTCCTTCCACCGAACGCCTCTCCAGTGCCCCCTTCCCCCTCCAGCACCAAGCAAGCCTACGAATCGTACCTTCCCTTACTCTCTCGCGTCACTGGGCAGAAACTCCTTCGGGAAAACCCTTCGGGTCTTCCTGTTGGGCTTGGGGTGGAAGAAGGGGAGGAGATGGGAGAGAAGGAGATGTGAGATTGGACTGGACTGGATGGAATGGAATGGACGGACGAGTGATAAGATGAGGGGAGAAGCTGGGAAGGTATACATACCTCCTAGGTACATACCTATACGTTATACGCTGTACGCTATCGGATAGGTAAGCTTGCGTTGTAAGGCAGAGAGACGGACGGACGGACAGATAAACAGATAGGTAGGTAGCCCAGGTAGCCAGACATGTGTGCTACATGTCTCGACGATGGAACGTAAGGTACATGTAGGTACATATTCTACCTGGCGAGAGTAAGGTACTTAGTCCATGGAGGTCGAGGGATGAGATGGAAGCAATACCAGATGCCGATGTGGTCCATCTATCTACGGAGGTACATGTGAGTAGCAATTCAAACACACATACATCTGCGCACTCTCGTCGTAAGCGGTACCTTTGCAGTGGATGCTTTTCATCGACAAGGGGATATGAGGATGTACCTAGCTAGAAATAGTAAAGAGTCCATTTGCAATATCTGGATTGCTACTGAGCCTTGGAGCAGTCTTGAGATGTATTGCTAGCAGATTAACATACCTAGGTCATGTAGCTACGCAAATTTACTCTATTGGATTTGAGACTTGCTCACTTGCCTGGATGGATGGAATGAACCAACGCCTTCCTGAGGAGCTGACGGACACGGTACAAGGCTCAAGACAGGTGGCCTTGTGCTTCGTGGTGTGAGGTGTTTGGTAGCGAGCGAAGCGTGGCTGGTGCACTCTGGCGTCGTTTGGGAAAGGCCAGCTGAGCGAGAGACAATGCTAGGTAAATATAGCAAGTGTGCGTAGCCATGGACGGAGCTCAAGAAGGCTCCAGATTGCTTCCCTTGTCCAAGCGGAAGAATGTGAAGCACCTTTGCCTATGCTCACACCGATTCAGTGACCGCATCCAGAGATACTCGGACGTGCGATATCCGGGAGTACATTCATCGCATGGACTACACCTCAAGCCAGGTCTTCGCTTCTCCTCGCGATATCAATTTTTTCCCGCAAGATCCAGGTTTCTGCGTTTCCATTCTTCCTTTCGAGAGAACCTATCAAGTCCCCCCTCGACTCAACTCCACCACCCTTCTCGTCCCTTCCACAATCAACCCATGTTCCGCCTGGTGTATCCTCTCCTGCAAATCACCCAGCGTCCCACACCCTTGGATATCCACCTCTTGCTGCACAATCGGCTCCCCCAGATCCACCTCGGCAATGACATAATGAATCATGATCCCCGTCTTCGTCCTCTTCCCTTGCTCAAACTCCTCCCACGCTCGTTCAATACACCCCGCGCCAATCAAGTCCTTATGGAGAGAAGGATGCAAATTGATAATTTTCACACCCTTCTCCGCAAGAGGGTTCAAAAACGAAGGAGTCAGAATTCTCATAAAGCCCGCGCAGACGACAATGCTCGGCTGATCGTGCAGAATGAGAGGGACGAGATCTGCATCGTAGGCGTTTCGAGCGGGCGAGTTCTGGACGGGTGCGGAAGGGTCGTCTGCGGGGTATTGTTTTTTATAGGGAAGCCAGGCATGATATGTTGTGGGAATGTGTGCGTTCTGGGCGCGAGTGAGGCCATAGGCGGCTTTGCGGTCGGAGATGACGCGGACGAGTTGTACGTTGGGGAGAGCGGGGGTGTTGCTGGCGTCGATGAGAGCTTGGAGGTTGGTGCCGGAGCCGGAGATGAGGACTGTGATGCGCACGGGAGCGACGTCTGAAGGCGAGGAAGAAGAAGTCATTATTGTGGTGGTGGTGGTGGTGATGGTGGTTGTTACAATGGTCTCAATGGGGTGGAGAATACCTACAGTACAGGTACCTCACCTCACACCAAAAAAAAAGATTTGCATGTGAAACATGGGTGCTCCATGCCCCACGCTCTCGCCTCTCGGGGGGATCGGTATCACGATTGCCGAGAGAGAGCGGGAGGCGGGAGGCGGGAGATCAGATCTCTTGGCGCGATTCTGCAAGGGGCCAGAAGTGTCGCGTCAGTGCTTTGGTGCTCTCTATGACGATGGCGTGGGTGCCGATGCCTCTCGCAGTTCCCAAATTCTTTGTGAGAGGTCACGGGAGAGATGGTTTTGACTTGTCATTTGTAACCTACACTTACCTACCTTACCTACACCATCCCACCTACCTACCTACCTATACTACCTCCTACCCCAATCAGACTCTGCTTGTGCCCATCCACCAGAGCCAAGACACCGACACCTACCTTACCTTACCAGTACACTCCTTACCTACATAGGTACATACCTGACCTCCACATCAACCATCCACAATCATGTCAAAAGGCTTCTTCACCGGCCCCAACATTGCAGCCGGAGCAGCATTGACAGGCGCAATCGTCTACTTTGCATCACGAGGAAACATGTACGCTCACTCCACGACAAGAACAAGGGAGGGGGACGAGAACACGCTGACTGACCAACGACGGATGTGATAATCACATACATATAGGTACGAGACACATGGAGCACAAAACGTCGCCAATGCGTATTCACGAGGGGGAGGAACCAAGACACATGCGGCAGGCGTCGCAACGAAACTAGGTGAGGCAGGTCAGTCGTCCGGAAACTTTCTCCGCTCGTCTTCTTCCCCCCATCTCGACAACTTAAGGTGGAGTGAACTGATGTCCATGGCCAGGGACGACGGATGAGACGAAAGTGCACCAGCAGGACGCCAAAGGCATCGATACCGAGTACTACAAGGAGCACCATGCACAACAGAGAATTGGCGAGCCTGGCGGAGGAGCTCCGTTTGGCAAGAAATTAAACGAGGCCTCGTATGGCCATAAGGAGGGAAAGTAAACCAGGCGGTCAGAGGCGAATTTGACAGACCAACTGCAGCGCAGTAAATACGTGGACTACAGTCACACGTGGGAAGAGTTTCCCTGTGATATACTGATGTAAACCATACAGCCAAAAAAAAGATATTCAGATTCAATGGTGCTATGCACGCATATAGGGGCCTTTCCCGGCCTGCTGACGTTGCTTTAGATTGAAACGGCACCACCTGCACCAGATGAGACCACTGGAGGATGCCGATACCATTCGATTCCGCCTTTTCATGTTCGCTGACGAACCCCGGAGATTCCGGATCTTTGTTACGACCCATTACCCACCACGATGAGTGTAGAACGACTGATTTTCGCAGCCGAAGTCATTCTGGGATGTCGAGCTGTACGCTCGGCGGTGTACTTGGTAGAGCAGTGGCATGGTGCCACGCTTATACACCCTATAGCGATCGAAATCGTTTCTGGGAGGTCGAGCTCATCGCTCCGCGGTATACTTGGTAGAGCAGTGGCATGGTGCCACGCTTGTATATGGAGATGGAGATGGCGATGGCGATGGCGATGGCCAACTGACGCGAGTCCCCCTCGCCGCGAGTGTGGCTCCTGCATCGTCTGGGAGCACCAAATATCCGTACGCTCATCTCACCATCCCGTACGGTACCGATACGTCCTCTTCGAAAGCCACCGAATAAGCTTCCCGATTGCTCCGCCTCTCTTCCCTTGTGCACAGGCCGAGCTCCAGACGTGCTGGAGGAGACTGCTCAACAGGGCAAATTGATGGTCGCATGTGGGGCACTTGAATGGTTTGGCGCCGGTCCATTCAATATAGGTCTTATCTCGAGCAATGAAGGACTCACGACATCCTTTGTGCATATACTTCTTCCACTGGAAGCAATGTGCTGCGAGGAGATTGATGCTGTCCACATCCTCGCCCGACTGGCACGTTCCCGATTCGAGATGGATAATCATGCCGGGGAAGGTGGTAAAGGCTCGTTGGCAGCAGAGGCAGTTGATTAGGCGTGGGAGGGGGGCGAGCGTTTGCTAGGGAAGAGATTAGAGGTGAGTTTTTTCTTTTTTTTTTTGTTTTCTTTTTTCATGGTATATCAGTGGGATGGACAGCAATCTCCAGGCTGTGGCAGGACAGGCTCAAGATGGTGGAAGGGAGAACGAGGGGGTGGGCATTGGATATTACTTACGACGGCGTCTTCTTCGCAGTCCCATCCAATGTATTCGTCGCTGCCCCACTTGGAGTCTGTTGAGATATCGCCCATTGTTTGATGATGCTCTGTTTCAATGCTTGCTTTCGTCCTTTCTTGCTTTTTCTCCTCAAGGAATCTCTGCGATGGAAAAAATAGGATGAAAAGAAGCGATGGACAAAATAGGATGAAAAGAAAAGAAAAGAGGTAGATGATTCCCTTGGCCATTCTTATACTATCAGAAGAGAAGACGACTGGAAAGTTAGGTAAGGTAAGGTCTTAACCCTTTTTTTTATGTGTGCGTGTGTGTGTGATTCATCACATCTCAAATGACCGGAAGAGCTGGCTGAGCTGGCTGGTCCTCGGAAGAGCTGGATGTTTGGATTTCTGGTTCATGGAATCATGGAATCATGGAATCATAGAAGAGAAGAGAAGATAGAACCTCCCGTCCTAACCTAACCTAACTTTGCGAATAAAGGAGTAGGAGGTAAAGGAGTGAAGCAGTGGGTTTCCTATACCTAGGTACTATATTATCTTCTAAGGACCAGGTGACATTGTAATTGACTGATAGACAGGTACCAGGGTACAGATAGTTCCTATTGAGTCGTTCCCTTCCCTTCCCTTCCCTTCTAGTTCCGCTGGTTTTGCGTCTTGGTTTTGCGGTAGTTGTAGGTACATGTACGGGCATATAGTAAAGGGAAGGTAAAGTAAGGTACCTCCTACTAGAAGGTAGGTATATAGGCAAGTAAGTACAATTAAGATCCAAGGTAGGTAGCTGGATGTATATGTAAGGTAGATAGGTAAAGTCTATCTAAGGAGGTACCTACCTATAGATAGAGATCTTTCTCGCTCTTTCTCGTAGTTCTTGTAGCATTCCTTAATAGAAATGTAAAGCTATTACTATAGGCATAGTAGCAAAGCTATACCTACCTAACTTATATTCCAACCTTTTTTTGTTTTCTTTTTTTGTTTTTTGTTTTTTTGTTTTTTTGTTTTTTTGTTTTTTTGTTTTTTTGTTTTTTTTTTTCGACTATATAAAACCAAATAAGAGTTGCTTCCAACGGTCTTTTAGCTTATAGGCTTACGAGGGCATCTCTATACTAGAGGCAAGCAGTCTTCTATACTACGAGGGTTACGATCAAGCCTACCTACCTACCTACCTCCTTAAAATAGAGAGGTAAGGTAGGTACGTACGCTTTACGGCAATTGACGGAGGCGAGACGTTACGATTTGGGAAGGTCTACCTATAGGTATCTTAGCTTTTAGGTAGAGTTACGTACGTACGGTTTACGGAAGTTGACGGGGGCGAGGGAGGTTAGGTACCTAGGTAGGGAGGTAGGTATACTATACTCTTTTGAATACGGACGGGGGGTTTGGAACCAGCAATTAGGTATGTAGGTAGGAGGTATGTATGTGTGTATGTATGTTTTGGTTCGAATACGGCAGACACGAGGAAGCTCGTTTTTTTTTTGTTTCTTTCTTTTCTTGCTCTCTCTCTTTCGTGTCTCGGAAAATGGGGTTATACGTATAGGTAGATAGTATACTCGTGTTGTGAAGAGTACCCCGCCCCGAAAAAGAAAAAAAAAGAGGAGAACTGGAAATCGAGATCTCCAAGAATGATGACCGGGGACGCGGATACAACGTTGAGATGGCTTGGTTGAAATGAGAGCTGGGAGTAATAGGGAGGGAGGGAGGGAGGGAGGAAAAATCGCAAGTCGACGCGAGAAAGAATTTGATCAATTGCTCGTGCCAGAAAACCCCCCCAAAGAAAACACACAAGGGACTCGGGTTGATGAAGGCTATACTTACCTACCGTACAGTAGTGAGTGTAGAGCATCGGAAATCTCCCCTACTGTCGGAACCATACTCTTGTTCCCCGACATACGAGGAGGACTCGGCTCACTACTGGCGGATGTCGTGTTGGGGAGGACGATTGTTGGGTACCTACCTGCCTACCTGGTACCTAGTGATCAGAGGGGGTGGCTTGTTTAGGTGAGGAGGAGGAGGAGGAGGAGGCTGCCACGTGCAAATGTTGTTGATGTCTTGGTCGTTTGTACCCTCCTCCTGATGATGAATTGTCACTTGGTCGTGCACACACACACACACACACACACTCAGCTCATATCTGAGTCCGCCAAGGAAAGCAGCCCAACCCCCCCAAGACAGTTGTTCATATGATGCAGGCTCGTGGCCTGGATATCCAATCTAATGGCAGTCTTGGGAGGATAGTACCTAGCGTTGTCGTGCTGATCACTGCATGACGCGACCAAGAGGGGATGTTTGATAGCAAACATCTGGTATGGGTTGTTGACTGCACAACGTCCGTTATTACCATTCGGTGAAAGAGGAGCAGATGCCGTTGGCGTGAGGCGGACCCAATTGGTAGCGGATTGTCATCGTGACCTGTCCCATATCTTTCGTAAGGTCTGCAACTGCCAGTCTCAGGGTGTTGTCTCGTCTACATGGTCGTGGCGACGGGACAAGATAAATATGGTAAGGCTGCTCACACCTCCTCCTTGACGTCGACCGAGAAGTTCCGTATGGCGATAGGTACCTAGTAATGGGATCTGCATCTAGGAGGTACCAGAGTGGTTTCATTCAGGCCCGCGTAAGAAGCACAGTCGATAAATTGATGGATTGAGAGCACTTTTCTTCACTCACTCCGTAGTGGGTCCGCTGGAGAACCGTGCGTAGCCACATCACGTGGTCGCACACGACACGACACACGAACATCAAAAAAAGGTCGAGGACTCGAGGTCGCCTTGCTTTGTTTCAGCCGTGTCTTAGGTGACACTGAAAAGTGCTGCTGTTCGTCGTGCTGCCGCTGCCAATGAAGACGCTCGTCTCAACATCACCAGTTCACCACCGAGGACGCTGATGTTGCTTTGGACCCCTGGCAGAAACGGTGAACCTGGCAGAAGAAATGCATTATCGCGAAATCGACGGACCAATGCACGCCGTCCCGGTATCAGGATGAGTGTCGAGCATTTTCCGCGTCGAGGTGGATCCTATTCCTGAATCCTGCCTGCCTGCGTGCTGGGAGCCTGGGGCTGGGGGCTGGGGGCTGGGGGGCGTTCGAGTGGCAGGGTGCAAGCTTCATATCCGTGGCTCACGCAAGTCGCTCAAAGCGGCCTTTCATGGCTGATTTAGAGTGGCCCAACAGAGTGTCCAGGGCAGCGTCCCCGGCGCCGGATCGTGGGAGCTGCCCAGTGCGGCGGCGTGGTGATTGCAGCGGTCGATCGTCTGCCACCACTGCACTCTCTGCACTCTCTGCACTCTCTCTCTAGTCTCTCCCTCTCGCCTATATGCATGATATATGTTTATGTACTGTATGGACCCACGGAGTGTGCGATAAATGGCACCGTATCTCCGCGAGGTGGCCACTATCGTCAATACCTAATGGCGGTGTCGATAATGGGGGAGCCTGGGAGGGAGGGGGCAAGCAGAACGAACGCCTCGCCTAACATCGTCTCGCCAATACCTCCTCGATACAGATACGTTCGCGGAGGCGGAAGACGCGATCCCGGTCCATGAGCATGGTACGGTGGAGTTACGTCGAGGCTGGACGGCGGACGCTCTGGTCTGGAGCTCTGGCAAACTGGCTCTGGGAGTCTGGCTCTGGCTGCCAGGCCAGACAAGCGCAGACAGGACAGGCCAGCTAGAATGCTAGATCGTCGCCGCTAGAGCGGGACAGCTCCCATTTGCTCGAGCCTGCGTGAGGCCTGTGGCTGTCTGAGAGTCTCTCTGGAGACCTGCCCACATGTGCCTTGCCCGCAAACACGTCGAGGGAAGCACTTCTCTCTCTCTCTCTCTCTCTCTCCCTCTCCCTCGTCATCCCATCCCTCCTCGGCGGGGACCCTCTTAATAAAAAGTGGATGCCGTGTCTGCTCGAACTGCCTGCCATCCTACTACCCTAATGCTATGGTGATCGCAGCAATCACTGTCAGTCTCTACAGTTCCACCACCACCACCACCACCACCACCACCACCACCCTCTCCTCCTCCGCCGCCGCCTCTGCCTCCGCCTCCGCTTCCCCCCTCCCCCTCCCCCTCCGTCTCCGTCGCCAGCCCCCCAGCAGTGACAGGCCCTGCGATACGGTACATAGCGGCCCAAAGCTACACGACGTGCGTGCCATAGTCGGAGCCACCGCGTTGGGAAGTTCCCTCCTCGCGGGAAGATCAAAAGCAGGTTAGAGTAGATCAGAGCACACCTGATCAGGGCACATCCAGAGGCACATCCAGATCCGCGCCGCTCCCACTGCGACACCAAGCACGCGATCGTGACAGTCAGCGCCCGGGCGTCTGCGGGTGGTCGGCGCTGAAGAGAGGATCCAGCCAGACAGCCTGCCGTCGTGGGTCTCGCCCAAGCACCGCAGAGGTAGCTTCATGTACGAACCCGGCACATGGTTGCTGTGGCCCCATAGCGACACCTCGAGAGCGGCAAATTAACTGGCTCGCAGTCCTTTCGACGCCTAGAGCGTGCAGCCGCGTGCTACATAACAACAATCGACAGACCTCCACGACTTGACACGCTTCCCTGCGCGCTGCTACTGCTGCTGCTGCTGCTGCTGCTGCTGCTGCTGCACCTCTTCTTCGCCCATGCCCCACTGTCGAGGCGCGCGCAGCAAAAAGAATTTGACCTTGTTGTGGTGACCGCCTGGGGGAGGACATGGTGCATGACCGCAAGGGAATTTCTGAAAGTGCGCATATCTTGGGCGCAGACCCACCCAAAGCGCAAGTAAAGGTCCTTTGATTACCGTGAGCTGGAGGCTGTCTGGTTCTACCTACCCATCTACCTGGTTGAGACTCTGGTTCGACCAAAAGTCAAATATCACCCCTCCCGCAAGCAAGCAAAGCAAAGCAAAGCAAGCAACCTGCGACTGTTCCTTTGCGCCACGTCGCCTTTGGCTACCTGACCTTCTATCTTCTTCACTCACCCGACTTCTCTCTCATCCACTGCTTCGCCCACCTTTCGGAGACTGATTCCTTCCTCGAGTTTCGTTCTTTTGCCAGGACTGTGCCTACCCGCTCAAGTACCACCGAGGGCAGCAACAGGACCAGCACATTGTGCGCACCCACGATGCAGCAGCATCAAATACCATCCCAGCCCAACCCGTATCAGGGCCACCCGTCTTCGCAATCCCATTACCAGTCTAACGGCATACACCACGACATCACTACACGAGGTAACGACTATACGAACGGACAGCAAGCCCACGGAGAAGACATGAATCCCTACCAGCAGCAGTATGGGGGCTATGCACCGCCTCCACTCCCTCAGTCCCAGCATCAACACCACCAACAACAACAACAACAACAACATCAACATCACCCACATCAGTCGCAGGCACAATCGCAACAGCAACACATGCGAGGACCACCGCCATCGATGGGCAATCCCTACATGCAGAATCAGCTCCCTCCGTTGGGCCAGCCATCGATGGGCCCTCCAATGGGAAGCATGGGTCTTGTAACGGAAACACCGCGAACCCATCGCCCCAGCTCTGCTAACCCAGTCCAGCCTCACTCGTACGGTATGCCTGCGCCGCCACCTCCGATGCAATCCATGCAATCCATGCAGTCCCTGCAGTCCCTGCAACCACCGCAGCAGTCTTCATTGCCCCCGCAGCCTCGAGCTAGTAACATCCTGCCCAATGGGGAAAAGAAGATGTCGCATAGTAATGTGAGAGATGGTCTGAAATACGAGCTCCACGTGCTACAACAACCGCAAAGAGCGCGGATGTGTGGCTTTGGTGACAAAGACCGGAGGCCCATCACACCCCCACCATGCGTGAAGCTGGTGATTATTGACATGAACACCAACGCAGAGGTCTCGATGGATGATCCACTGCTCGCGGATCCTTCGTTCTTCATTCTGCAGGTGGACTTGTGGGCAGAGACTGCAGATCGAGAGGCTAATGTGGTGCGGGCATCGAGCAACAGCCCCGCTGTGAGTATCAGTAGCGCGACGACGACGTCGTACCCACCACCGGCCGAGCCGCAGAGACAGCATTTCGAGACGCAGCAGGTGATGTATATGAGTGAGCAGGGCCCTGTTTATGCTCAGATCCCCGCCTATCCTGCAACCATGGCTCGACCGGGATACGCTCCGAGCATGTTCTACAGCCAGATGGGACAGCCCATCGGCTACACTCCTCAGCCGCAACAGTCGAACGCCATGTACACGCGGAATCTGATCGGAAGCTTGACCGTCAACGCCGCTCGTCTGAACGATGACCAGGGCAAACCTGGCTTCTGGTTTGTGCTTCAGGACCTGAGTGTGCGCACCGAGGGATTCTTCCGGTAGGTGGACATTTGTAATCTGATCACGTCCAGTGAACGGTGTACTGACTCGATACAGATTGCGCATGAGCTTTATTGACATCAGTAACAAAGGAGGTGGTCAGCCCGGAGTCAACAGAGGCAAAGCACCGGTCTTAGCCTGGACCTTTTCAGACAAGTTTCAGGTGTACTCGGCCAAGAAGTTCCCCGGAGTGATTGAAAGCACTCCACTCAGCAAATGTTTTGCGGGCCAGGGTATCAAGATTCCGATCCGCAAGGACAACAAGAATGAAGCAGGAGACGATGACGATGGTGATTGAAGTCCCGGAAAAACAGCCATACGGACAATCTTGTACACAACGACCACGGATCGCGCCGTTCAGGGGAATTTGCAGTGTGCGTCCACGCTGCGTTGGGCTATGGAAACGAATATGAAGGCGCAAGGAGAAGTGATGCGTTGGAAACATGGAGGAAGCAGTGATTGATCCAGCTTGATGGAAAGCTTGACATGGTGCTGCTGCTGCTGCTGCTGCTACTGCTACTGTTGCTAGACAACGAGGTGGCGGCTGCAGTGTAGGCATTGGAGTGTAGAAGGCCAGCTGGTGGAAAACACAAGCAAGAAGAGAGGAGGACAGTCGACAGTGTGTCGGATGCTGTCCAGGTCTGCCGATTGAGGCCAGTCAATCGATTGAGACGACTGAGATGAATTGTGCGCAACTGAAATGACGACGACAGCAATGGCAGAGGCTCCATGACCTACAGACTCCTCGATTGTATAGCACCATCTTGATGATTCCTTCGGGCACTCTATGATACATGTACTGTACTTTAGCCTCGTTACAGATAATGTACTGGTAATGTATATAGGCGAGCGGCGCTCCAGCAGCCTGGCCTGCTGTAGGATACATTGGCGCGCGGCGCTGACGCGCACTCGTTCTGAGGTTCCACGCACTCCTGACTAAGCATTCAAAACGCATGCCAAGATAGAACGAGTGCATAGTTTAAATTACGAGTGCAGGTCATGTTTTTCTTCTTCCTCTACATCTACTTCTATCGAACCATCTGCAAACTATCTACCTACTCTTACGATAATAGTTCACTACTATTTACTCTATATTTACCGAATCTATCTTGTACTTGTCTACAATTTACTCCCTCGACAACAGTAAGTATATATCTACTGTTATTATACTGTTACTATACCGTTAGTATATCGTTTCTAAGATAATTAATAGATGGCTCCTCAAATTACCCCGAATATGTCTCGCCTGATTCCAAGTATTGATTTATCAGACGT